TGATCTATTGATGCAATGAAAACGAGCATTGCGACTTTTCACCTACCTGCCCACTTTGTTTTGGTCACGTGACGAAGCGACTACTATCGAAGTCGTGAAATTGAAACCATTTTGAATGACACAAAATGTCACTACTTTGTGTCGTGTTGCCAATTATTTTATTTCACCGTATTTATTTTTTTTTTATTGGGCCTATTTTGTTATTTAAGTATTTATATTTAAAAATGTTATTGTTTAATGTGGTTGATAAAATTGTTTTGTCAAAAAAAAGTTGCAATGCTCAGTAATGTGGTCCGGCTACTTTGGCAACGCTCTGAAGCTATCCGAAACACATTGAGGTTTGGCCGTTCTTCCAAAATCTTCGGAAACTTCCATTTCGGGAAAAGTTTTGTCCCATCACCAATCAGCATACTAACCACTCCATACACTGCTGCTGCTGTTGTTGTTTATTGCTATTTTATCACCAATACTGATGAATTGATAACACACGGAGGATCTTATGAAGACTATCAGTTTGACTGGTGAAAGTGTCAGACCCTCCCCCCTTCCCCCCGCCGAAAAAAAAAAAGAAAAAAAAAGTGAGAAGTGGGAGAGAGAGAGGGGACGGAGTGGGGGAGGGCACCACGAATGGGAGCAAATCAAGCCATCCGAAATGAGCGCTTCCGTAAGCGTTGAGGAAGCCACCGCGGCGGCCGAAAGGTGGGAAAAAGCAAGTCATGCAGAACCGTCACGGCTCACAAACGTCACGAACTCGAAGGGCTAGCGGGCTTACGTGTCGGGGGGCAACCCGCCGGACTTCATTCAGACGAGACCGAAACACGGGAAGCCCGCCACAACAACAACAAAGGCACGCCTGAATTGTCGGCTATCTCCACCCGTGATCTCCACTCAAGAGCAGTTTTGCTACGGTGCCCAAAGGAGCGTCGATAACGCCCGGATAATAGTATGCCGGAGAGCTCCTCGCCAAGCGATCCTTCCGGCAACAAGCCATTACACGCCCGAGAGAAAGGGAGCAAAATACCAAACAAGATCAGAGTTCGAAAAAAAAAAAAAACAATTATTAGTTACATGTGAGCAACAGGCGCGGCTTCCGTCCCGCATTAATGTTGTACGATTTCTTCTTTCGGTCTCTTCGCCGTAGGAGGAAATGGTGTACGGTGTGAAAGCGTCCCGGCGATCAGACGACGAACACGCGGTTTCCGACGCGGGGTTCAGTGATCCGCGAGGAGAGACGCGTCTCTACGAAAATCAAGCCGGTGGGAGAAGGAATGCTCGGCAAGGCGGCGACCAACGCCTCCGGGCCGGGGGAATTTCGCGGCGGCGTCCAAAGCGAGCCAGCGATCTTCAGAGGGAAGACTGAGCGGAGCGGCTGCGGGGCCACTGGGAGTCGCGATGGGCCCCAAAATGTGCTTGGAGAAGGCCGTGGTGACTTACCGGAGTCGCATTATGCATCATCCACACGGCTTACGCACACATGAATCACTCGAGGGAACCCGAAATGAGAGAAACCAACAACCGCACCGAAGAGGTATTCACACGGAGAGCAAATTACCGAACAGCAGTTGGGCGCGGAGTTCGGCCGCTGCTTCTGCACGCTTGACACTTGACATCGCAACTTGGCATTTTTGGGGTTTGTAACTTTCCACTAGACTCAATTTGTAAAAAAAAAATTAACTATTTATTATTTTATAACGTAAAATGTAAAATATTATTTATTTTAATTTCGGAGGCGGAGGAAGGCAGGAAGTGCGAAACAGGAACGTTCAGCGTAGGCGGCGTTGGCGTCGCGTTCTCGCAACTTCCCGTTTAGGCGTGATCCATCGGGTTTCTTCTCGGCTTGGGTGTAGTGAATTTTACCGATTGTTAGGGCTAAAATGCGGCTAAAACCGGGACAGTTGGGGACATATTTATAAAATTACAGCGTCGTACAGCAGCCAGTGGACGGTATCACCTCAACACAAGATGTCCAACTCGAAATCGGGTCAGTGGCGCCTCTTTTTCTCGTAGGAAACGCCGACAGTCGCCCCACACCCCCCTCTCCGAAAACAACGATTTCATTGAACTCCGACGATAATCTGGAGCATAGTTGATGCCTTTCTAAAGACTCCCAGACCTGTTTACTGCTTCACGACCTGACTCGGTGCTTTGGATTGCCGCCGAGTACCGTGTAAAGGGCTCTCGTCTTTGGTACATGGGATACTAACGGTATTTTCGCAGTGTACTGTTCCAGCCTCTCCTGTTCATTCGAGCGTTCTACGGCCGCTCAAAGACTGATCGCAGTCAATGCTTTCCTTACTGGGCACTGTTAACGATCTGGAGTCTGCCTCAGATACCAACCAAGACGATCCGTCAACGCTAAGTTCACCGGTCGTTGTCGTTATCCTCTCGCTCTTCGGACAGTTTTGACAGCCGCGGAAAACTGGGACACGCCGGCCGGTTTCCGACGCGTTTCTACGCTGCACGTTTTTAAAGGAACGGCAGCATTCATGTTTGAACTAGAGCTTGAGACGCTATCGGAGGCTGATCGTACTGGCCTGTTCATATGGCTGAAGCAGAAAACAGGCACACAATTCAAAGAGGTCGTGCTTGTCGGTGATTCACGTTTGTCTTGTTAGAGTGGTCTCTGTGCATTTCATGATATTTGGGTTCGGCAAACGATCCAGTTTAGCTGGCGGCAAGGCGTGCACCAATTAGAACTGACCTCTATTCTTTTTTTGCTGTTGGGTATTGCGATTGCATTTGCGCTGGGAGCAGTTTTGTTGGCGAGACATACGGTGAACCATACTGTATTGATTAAGACTTGGGGCTGCGATCTCACGTTGGTGAATATTAAGAATTTACAATAATCGGGATAATGAGTGACAAAACTAGAGTTTCTAACTCGTCGGTACAGTTTTCTCCATTCGTTTGGGGAAATCTGTTTGCATTTGATTACAAACCAAAAGTGTTCGAAAATTCTGTTATTAATAATAAATATTTCTGCAGTGTCATTTTATTGTGTATTGTGAACAGTGCACGCTTTGTTTCAAAGCTGCACCGTCAGCAGCAATTTTGTACAAAGTCAGTGATGTGATTGCTGCGCCAATTGCGCCAAACTGCGCCAAGGGGCTAACCCTGATACATCCTGCTACATTTTGCTAAAATAGGGGTAACCTGCGCCAAGCCTGCACCAAAGGACCGATTTCGGTCGCCTTTCAAAACCGAAACTAAACAGAGTACCGCAATTGAGCAATTGAGCCCTGCATTAATCGTCCATCCGGTCTTGCATAGTTTTCTCGCCGTCTTGCGTTTCGCGCTCTCGGCTCGTAAATATTGTCTCGTGCTTTTATTTATTTATTTTTTTTCTATGATAGACGCGGGTGTGTGTGGGCGCTCCGGCGCTAGCGTGCCAGGTACAAGCCATGCCGTCATGCTGTGAAACAAACCACGTTTTTGCGCGGCGAGAGTTACTTTGTGAGCTGAAGCACTCTCTCCTGAAAGCAACGGCTGTGGGAAAACTGTATTTGGTCCCTGCCTTCCAGTCACCGTGGTCGCGCGACGTCGGGTGGTGCCATCCCCACGTCACTGCAGATATAGCGCTTTCTAAAATGAAACTAAGTATCGCTGCCTCTTCGTCAACATTCCTGTTCTTGTTTAAATCATATGATACTACAAAAATCCCTCTTTAACTCAAAGATTGCTGTGTCGACGTATTGATTACCAAGGTTTCTCTAGGTGGGCTTTTTTTTCGAGACGGACCCCGGTACGTGAAAAATCTTCCGCGAAAGAAGGTTGATGAAAAGAAGTTAGCTGAAGCAAAGAAGGCAATGCCTGCACGCTGAACCCGCACATCGCGCTTGTTTGTCTCGAGTTCAGTCGTTGCACAAAGCGCTCCAAGAACTTTTTGAGTCTGGCTCGCGATGTCTTTCATTGATAGCTCAGGTAATTTTTTCCCCTTTTTTTTGTATGTTTAGCTTGTACCTTGTTTGCCGGTCTGGCAAGCACACGCCGCTGGGCTGTTTATTGTCGTATGCTCGACAATTACATTTTGCATACAATTTTGGGGATCAGCATTGGCGACAAAGTGGAGTGACATGGTTTCGGTTTCGATCGAACAGTCGTTGTCTCAGCTCGCGCGACGAAGCATGCGCAGCTACAAGCCTGCCGAAGTTTGTCTCACGTGCATGCGAACATGACTTTATGACAGAGGCACCAGCCGGGACGCTTGCAATCCATTGTTTTACGTTTGCTTACTTTGACGAAAATCTGGCACGTCGGGAACCAGTCAAGCGGTGGCAAGCGGTTTTTCGAAATTGTTCGGTAATGCCTACAGCACTGTATACTTGTTGGATGTCTCAGCAGTAAAAACACAAGCTGCGAGTTCCGTCACAACACGCCACATCGGAACAGAACGCATCACAAAGTGCCCTTTGTATGTACAGCACTAAAAAGAATATTTTTATTTATCTAATATCTGCCCCAAAAGCCAGTTTGGCTGCTCTAAAACACTGTATTGGTTGCTCCAAAGGCCACATTTAATGCTCCAAAACGCTGTTTTGGCTGCTCCGAAAGGTGCTCCAAAATGGCTGAGGCCAATCACATCACTGACAAAGTGTCTTTCCAAAAAATCTCAATATGGATAAAAACCTTAATTTTCTTTGCAATGCAGCTCCAAGCCATCGTTCTGACGAACCAGCAAACACCCATGGTCGTAGTTTTTCACAACTTGAGAGGTACCCTCCGCGACCCATTTAGTGCAGGCACAATATTGGTGCTTTTTCGTGGTTTGCTTCGACGGGATTTAGCCATGCACGTGATTTTACCTCTTAGGTTAGTATTCCTATGGAGCTCTTTTCACCACACTGGTAGTCTTGGTGACATATTGTAAATACCGCGGAAGCGCTCACTATTAACATTTCCCAAGCCTGGGAAATCTGCAAACTATCCTTTAAGCACCCGCTTTGATCGGGCAAATGCCCGTGTCTGGATTAACCCAGCTTTTCAGTGAAAGTGGGGTGTGCGCTTCCCCTGTATTTTACGGTACTTTCAGTTTTAAGCGGAAAGCAGGAAGAACCAACAGTCGGCTGTTCGCGCTCTGTTGCACTATGCCAGTACATCGGATATATTTGCGGAAGGATCAAGGTATTTCGTCAGTGCAGAAGCACTCAAGAAATACTTAATCCACTACAGTGGAATATAAGTTTGATGGAAGTCCAAATAGGGCATATCACTTTTGTGAACTTGCTTGCATAATGACATAGCTCGGAAAAACTGTAATCTTCAAAATAGCAGTGAAGGAAAAGAGCAACTTCTCACAAAACTTTGGTTTAAAAGACAAATTCTAGCTCTACGCCCAAACTTGACTGCTTATAGACCTCTTCCACAAGGTCACAGCCGTCTTCAATTTTGTCACTTCTGGTATGTGGTAAAACATTGTTTTGATCTCTCCACGCCGCTGGAAGGTGTTCACGAAAAATGCACGATCGTCACTCATCCTTGTTTTGCCTCACCTATATTTTCTCTGACATTCCAGCAGGGTGTCTAGCGACCGGGAAAATTGGGAATTGTCGGGGAAATTTTAATTACCGGGAAAAATCAGGGAATTGTCAGGGAAATTGTCAAAAGCCAAGCCCAGTCAGAGAAAATGAGCCGGGAACGCCATCGAGTGCGCTGAGCAAAGGCTTGAGGACTTGGTGGCAGAAATATACGTAATAAATTCTGCTTAGAGCGAGGCGTGGTCTCTGCTCACCCGGTGTAGAGTGTGCTACCAGATGCAAAGAGAACAACCAACAAATCCAGTCTAAGCTTGGTAGAAGAGCGTGTTGGTTTAAGTCATGGATGAAGAAAGAATAAACAATTAAAACAGGGACAACACAACCACATCTTTCATTCATGAAAGATGTGGTTGTGTTGTCTCTGTTTTAATTGTTTATTCTTTCTTCAGCCAGTCTAAGCCTTGGATTGGATTGGATTGAGAGCACGACGCTAGGCTAGATCCAGTTAGAGCTGCTAGATTTAGTAACAAACGGGAAAGCTGCAGACCCCAATCCAAGCCTTAAGTCAAAAGTATCCGAAAGTGCATCTGGCGGCCATGTTGCCATTTGGTTATTGACGTGTGTGGTTGAGCGTCGTGTTTTCATCGTGTTTCCGGAAGTGGCCTCTTCACTGAGGATGCCAGCGGCAAGAAAGTGCTCGTTTAGTCCGGACTGGACGAACCCCAATATTTCGGAATATGCAAGTTAGATTAGGCCCGTGCAAAATGATTCGCAATATGCTCAATCATAGCCTCCTCTATACGGAGAAGGCTGGGCGCAATGCGAATAGAGGCGGCCGCCGAAAATGGGAAAGGAGGGGCAGGGAATTGGGAGCAGAGGGGAGATCGCCTGCTAGCACCACACAAGAGCGAGCGGCCAAAAGCAGAAACACTCTTTTATTTTTCTTCTTTTCTTTTCGATATTGTGGAGAGGAGGAACTCCAACGTCAACTCTTTCCCGTTCCCCCTTGCGTCCGCATCTCCGCAACGGTCCTTAAACGGTCGCGGCCGTCGGTTTTGTTTAGTCAAAACTGCATGGTTCTTCCGCGGCACGATACGATGGTTTGACGACGACGCACTCCGCTGGCACGCCAACAACTCCGCCAACGCCACCGGCATGGTGCATTGTTGCCAGTGCCCTTTCAAATTGCCGCAGCCGTTGTTCCCCGAGTACGAAAACGACGGTGACGAAAACAGACGTGGTTCAGGGAGCAGCCGCTGCACAACCCAAGCGCTTGCACACTATCTCTGCCCTTTCTGCTCTGCGCTACCATATTTGTCACCGTTCCGCGCGCTCCTCCTCTTGTTTTTGCCGCGGCCACATGCCCTATGGCTCCGTCGTCGATGTGCCAGGCTTTCTCCGTATAGAGGAGGCTATGGCTCAATGCCTTGTGTTGTAATGGTCTTATATATTTAACCGCCTCTAGAGTGGTCAGGGAACTTCACCTGAAATTGTCAGGGAAAACCTGGAAAAGTCAAGGAATTTCAAAAGAATAATTTGCTAGGCACCCTGTCCAGGTTGAAATGTCTTAATATTTTTTTCCTCCGTATACCAGATATGGAACCCACATGAGTGAGAACGAAAGGAAACAAAAAAGGTCTATAAAACCCGAGAGATATAGACCAACACGAGGCTCCAGCATCATGCCGCTGCGGTGGCGCTGCCATCGGCATAGTGCACGCGCAGACGCTTCAATCAGTGCAATTTTAGTCTGCGCACGCGTAGTGCCCACAAACGCAAACTTGTTTGTAGACGGCATGTTGGCCTGTATGTGGTGACCAGTGTATCAATATGCTCCTTAAGAATAGAACGTTAAATTAGGTAGAGCTGCAGAAAAACTGGAGTCGCGGAACGTTCCTAAAATTGCTTCACTCTACAGGGTCTGCTAAAGCAGCTAAAGGTACAACTCACCGATAGGTTGCTTCTTCTGGCCGCATGCAGTCCAGCCAATATGCCAAGCCTCAAGGCATAGCGCATAAGTGTTTGACCTCTCGTAAACCTGTTTTGCCTTACTCTCGGGGATGGTCCTTTCTTTGTTGGAAGCAAACTGTTCTCACCATCAGCTGTGCTGGCTTAATACTTTTAGGACTTGGGACGGGCACATCGGGAGCTGAGTGAAACAAATTTTTTTTTTTTTTTGACGGGGGTCAGTATTGTTCATTGCTTGCTTTCGTAGTAGCTGTGATCGTATGGTGCGAACCTGTACACATTCCACAGAAAGAAATAATTTGATGCGTTTCCTCTATACCTATCCTCGAAGAGAGTGCGCTACTTTATGTTGAAAGTAACGCATTGTTTTTCATGTTTCGAGGGTGTAACACATAGACGTTTGTTTCCCTGGTGTTGGTTATTTGCATGCTGAGACTCGTATGCCAGAAACTGGTTATATTTGGGGGCTCTGTAATTTTCTCATCTCTCGGATTCGTCGTCCTGGCGCTGTTGCACCACGAGTCGGGGTGAACAGAAGATGAAGCTCCCATTCCTCAAGAAAAGCATATGGCAAATATAGGAAGAAGTAGCGCATTTTCCAGCTTAGAAGTCTGTATAAGTCTTCTGTAAATGGCCGTTTTGAGAGATTTGTTGTTCTAGAAGTGGTACTTGTTTGTGCAGTTGGAAGAGATGTTGGAGTTGCAGACCATTCTGAGGTGTCTTGGGACCGTTGTAAGGCTGTTGGCAGACGCTCTGCCCTTCCTCCTAAATGTCAATACAACTGCATTTTGCACAGTTAAGCTTAAAAAAAAAAAGAAATGCATATGAGCTGTACCATTGTATAAGAGACACTGTTGTCAGATAAATTAGTTAGCAAATTTTGGAAATTCTGTAGCCATTGGTGTCCTGGTTAGTGAACAAAGAAACCAGACAAAACTGGGGGAAAATGGCTCGTGGGCCCAAGCAACTGAAAATGCTACCGGTACCGCATAAAGTAGCCATTGTTTGGCGGCACAAGCTACCATTTGATTGATGTAGAGCCCCCTAGAGCCACAAGTTGAAGAAAACACATCAAGAAAAAATAGTTTGCAGCAAAGCATTTTGTTGAGGAGTAAATGGTCCGTGGCCAAAGCCAAAGTGGCTTCGCACCTCGGCTGCTGGGGACCCGAATTGCAGGCGTGAGGATGCGCTCTGATACGAAACCGAAACCCAGAAACACGTCCCATTAGAGCGAGTTTATGGCGTTCCCATTTTTGGGAACGCCATAAACTGCTGCCCGGTTCCATATTTAGTTGATTTAGTGTGTTTTAATGAATCTTAAACAGTTTCTCATTAGAATGTTATGTTTATTTTCATAGATTAAAAAGTTACTATGTAAATTTTAGTTAATTATTTATCTAATTAGTATTCTTTTCGCAATACTTGATGCCCGCCGTGGGTGGCAGTTTATCTTGGAAAGAGTTTCTTTCTTTTTGAACTTTTTTTTTATAGATTTTTAAAAGCTTTCACTGAAACACGAGGTAGATGTAACGGCACAGTGCATGAACAATGTTTCATGCATACACTCCTGGACAGCATGAGCAAATCTTGACCCCAGCTCGTTTCAGTTTGGACGAGCAGTTGTATTGTACCTGCTTGAAGTGAGGCGCCAAAACAACGAGGACACAAGGAGAGAAGCAGACAGGACGAGGCGCGTATTATACCGTTTAGGTAGACCTTTCTCGTAAATATCTGGCACCATATATAGAAAAATTGGGAAGTGTTCTTGATCCAAGAATCAAAGAAAGAATAAAACCACTTGGGGACAAGGACTTGTCCCTAAGTGTGTTTTTATTCTTTCTTCGATTCTTGTATTTCCACCGACCCCCCTCTTTGTTCTTGATTGCCTTCTAAAAACCTTTAATTAGTTATTATGCCCGTATTTTGGCCACAACCAAAATTGAAACAAAACTGGCGAGTTGCAATTAAGGGAGGACACTACCTGGGAATGCCAACTTTTAATTCACTCAATTGGCATGAAATTTGCAGGAGGTGTTTGTAGCCATGTAGGAGGGGGGCATGCAATGTTTCAGACCTGTTAACCAGTTTTACAAGGTTTTATAAGCCCAGAACAAAGTAAAGCATAGCTTGGCATTGAATCTGCTCAATAATAATAATAAGGACAAGAATGCTTTATTTCTTTGATGCCCCAGAACAACCAGCCGGTCAGAATATGGTGGCATATAAATCGAGGCCAAACACAGTCCAAGTTAGTAATCACATTCGTTGAGAAATGACATGCAAATTAAGAGCCAAAAAAATGCAACTCAAGCTCTCCTTTAAAAACAAACAAGTGTGAAAATATGTCAACATGAGGAGACAGGCTATTCAAACAGCTCTGCATTCTTACTAATGGTGACAATTTTGCTTCTATAGATGGGTAATATATGCATGAACATCTAGAAACACAAGCCGGCAAGCGGACTTGTAATGACGACGACAAATCGCTATCTACACTGCCATGATCCACTTTTTAAAAATGAAAGGTCATGAGCAATTCTTTTCAACAAGTCTAGTAAAAAAGCTCTTTAAGGATGTTTACATAGTTAAAAAAACCTATCCTCTGAAAATATCTGTTAGTCACAATGCGAATAAAGCATCTCTAAACTTTTTATCCTTGCTGCATCAGTTTCCGTCGGTGAATTCCATACGGCACTACAAAATTCGAGTCTAACACAAACTAAAGTACAAATCAAAGGAAGGACACACAGAGGATTAAAAGAATTGCGCGTCAGGCGTAGTATGATTCCTAGCAGTCGAGAAGCAGAGGTAACGATTTGGTTTACATGGTATGAAAAAGAAAGGTAGCTGTCAAAATAAACACCTAGGTTACGAATTTTCTGAACATGTTGGATAGAAGTATTGCCAAGTGGATACAGATAAGAGATGATTTTATCTTTTCTACACATCGTCATAATTTTTGTTTGATCTGGATTGACCACTAATAAGTTAGCAGAACACCACCCTGAGATGCGGGAAACGTCATCGGGTAAAAAAACACAATCATTCGTCGACGTAATTCTTTCATAAAGCTTGATATTGTCTGCAAATAAGACCAACTGTGCATTCCTTACACAACATTCAATATCACTAATAAATACGAGAAAAAGGAGCAGCCCCAGGTTTGACCCTTGAGGTTCACCCAAAGTTGGTACAAAAATGTCTGATAAGCTATTCAAGGCTCATACGTTACTCTGATGATCATTCAGATAACTACTAAACCGCAATAAAAGTAGTGGTGACACACCATACACAGAAAGTTTATCTAGAAGCAATTTGTAATTTACCTTATCAAAGGCCTTCGATAAATCAAAAGAAGCAATATTGGCTTGCTCTCGCGCAGCAGCAAAGGGCACGGTGTAATTGAGTAGTGACCGAAGGTTTGTCTCTACTGATTGGCCTCTTACAAATCCATGTTGAGTGGTGCTCAGTTTCTGAAAAATAAAATTTAAACACGGGCTTAGATCACTATTTCAAAAACTTTTGACAAAGTACAGTTACGATACTTGAAAATGACCAGCTTTGAGTATTGGTACAACAGACAAAGTACAGTTACGATACTTGAAAATGACCAGCTTTGAGTATTGGTACAACAGGCTTTTTCCATAGACTTAGAAAAACACCTTTTTTAAATGAAATATATAAAGGGGCAAAAATATCAGCACAACCCTTAACAATAAAACAAGGTATTAAATCTGCACCAAATCGCTTTGGTTTTAATTTTTGTACTGCCTCCAAGATTTTATCAGTATAAACTTGGTTCACAAAGTGTCGTTACAAACTATGCTACTGACAATTGAAATGTATTGTTGAGAGAGGGGGTTGATAGCCGCATATTTTTTTGGTGAAATGCACATTAAAATACCTGTTGCCGGTAACTATAAAAAAAAAAAAATTTAGCGAAATATAAAATTTTTATAACTTTTTTAATTGTTCTTTTTATATTTATCAAGTTTTGCTAATTACAATTTTTCATCATAAAGGAACATAAAAATGTGAAATCTAAGTTCATAGTAACCGGCTCCATAGAATTTCGGTATATAAGCCAAAAAATTAAGTCTCTATAGACCTTTCCAGCAGCTGTCTCGAACGAAGCGATTTCCAGCACGCATCCCTGGTTTTGAGAGTGTACGTCAGTGTTGCCCGACGGCGCTGAGCTGTGGCTTTTCTCGTCAGTAGGCTGTGGCAGCCTGCGTAGAAGCAATTTCGAACGCTGGTGGCGGCAAAATCGACTCGCTTTATTTTTTCTTTCGTGTTCTATGGCGAAGAGAATTTCTCGAAATTATTAGGAAAGCGTTGAACTATTTTTGAGAACAACAAACAAATGAAAGATATTTTCGGCGAGTCCATGCGCGACAGAACAAATGCAACTGGGATGTTTGTTCCATTTTATGCTGATCTTTTTAACGGCACCATACACTCAGCCGTGGCAACCTGCAAAGATCTTAAATGCCCAACATATTTGGCCACACCAGAGGATAGCCGAACTGCATGGCTATTGCCCCCTCACTATATGAAATTCAACGAGTCTCATCAATCGAACAACATATATTGTACGTACCCACGGTGCCGCGTTATCCGAACAGGATTTGAGAAAGGTCTCAAATAACACAGCATATCCAATATACAGTGTCGACGATAGTCACTTCACGACGATTGGACGGAATCCGGCTTGTCTTGGGGTACGTTTTGAAGAGTGATGCTTTTTTTACACAGTTCTAAAGCAAATGAACGAATGTGTCTATTTAGTTCCCATACCCCGGACCCTATCAGCTACTTCTCGCCAAGACCGGGAACACATCCGGGAAGGCTTTTCGGAGATTATCTCAACGGAAATAATCCTTGAAGAACGTCGAACGGCCAGCGTCGCAGGCTGCTTGACGTTCGCTTTCTTCGCTCGCTCTCTTTGTTCGTTTCCTGCGAAGGTCCAGCAGGCTACAAGTCCTGGTATTCCCTGGTTCTCACAGCGGAGGATTACAAAAACACGCAAGCGTCCTGAACAGGCAAATAGAGTAAACACTTTCAAGGAAAGCCGGCGAACTCCGAACACACAATGCAGGAGGGGCGTCGCGCTGACCGGGTTTCCACAGCTCAGGCAGGTGGCAGAAAATTTTTGGCTGATAGGGGTCGCTCGAGTCGCAAAATGGCGGCGGCCAGCGAGCTGTTTCTGCAAAGGTCTATAGTTTCATACTGAAACGATAAATCTATTAAGTAAAATTTATGCCAAAAAGCGGTACGGAGAAAAATGCGTTGAAAGTGCTCAAAAGTCTAATGTTTTTTAGCATCGGTGGACCGAAAATACTCAATAAAAAAAATAACTATGTAGCACAAAGAAATGAAACTTTCTGGGAATACTCTCTAGATGTTGGTGGATATATATACTCTGTCATTTTATAAGATGACTTTTTTTCTTCAGAATTGTCTTTTCTTTTCTGGGTAGTGTTAGGGTGCACTAGAAAGGTTTCTGAGATTGTCTGTTCTTGGTGATAAATTATCTTATGGGCACCAAGCATTATAGAAATCGAAAAAATTATGCTTGTGGCGACGTCTGTTTTCCTACTAAAAATGTGTTCGAAGTTCGTACCACGTCCCTTTCTGAGCAGAAAAACCTGGAGAACGGTATCCAGCGGCGACGCCTCCACTGCCGGTGCCTCTGTTTGCGATTGGCTGATGCACGCCCGTCCTCACGCCGCCAGCGCCTCTGCTGAATTTTGTGCTCCAGATTTTTCCGCTCAGAAAGGGACGTGGGACGAACTTCAGTCACATTTTTAGTGGAGAAATAAACATGGCAAGAGCATAATTTTTTTATTTCTGGGATGCTAAGATCTTGTAGAATGAGTTATCAACAAAAACAGACGATCTCAGAAACGTCTTTAGTGCACCTTTAAAACGCCGAGCTACTTTCGTCTCCACACTGTTACCGACTGTTGATACTGCCCCATGAGTGCCGTCAAGAATGGCGGAGAGCCTCGCTTGCTGCCACTATGGTGCCGGGAACGCGACTGGTGCTTTTAGTCGATTCTCAAATGTGGTCCCTCGATCTCTGCCCGCTGCCGCCGCAGAAGTATAGGGTTGTTGTGGGCCTCGATCGTGGCGGTATTGCAGCGGCGGTAGTGAGTGTGGCAGACACCCGTTCTGCTACAGGATTTTCTCCGGCGTGACAGTCCACGGGAGTCTGAGCAGCCACAAGTTAGCACTCCACGGCGAGGGCGACACTCGCTTGCTCATACTTTTTGACGAAACTTGTAGCACCAACCGGCAAAATCAAATGGCACGACAGGCCGTCTTGCACGACGTCATTCGTTGTCACATCGGGACCACTTTGTATAGGACGTTAAACACATCGGCAAGAGAGCCGTTCCGGACATCATGGCTAGCACCACGCGAGCGTGAGGAGAACCGCGAGAAGGCTCCTTGCCCGTCTACGCTGGAGACGCAGGACACCTTTTCAGATACTAACCTCTAGCCACATTTGCGCGACAAATTTGACTGATTTGACAGCGTTGGACGAAATCGTGAGGCAGTCTTAAAGTGTTGCTTCGAACATGCGGAACACGTTGGCCGTGCCCGTAAGGCCCTCGATCACGGTATTTTTTGTGGCTCTTTCGCCCGTCTCAGACCACCGTTTCGCGCCTTTGTCGGACGTGTTCCGATGTGTCGAGGCCACTTTGGACGTTTACATTGGGAGTGCAAGTGACCGCCCGTGACGAGAGGGTTGCCGTTCCAATTGGGGTGCGCGGTTGCGTCCGAGCACCGAGGGTGCCTCGACGTGCGTCCCTAACGGCGTTGCAACCGGAATGGTGCAGGGAAGCCCGGGGAGGAGGCGTACGTGGTGGCCAAGTACGACTACACGGCCCAGGGCAGCCAGGAGCTGAGCCTGCGCAAGCACGAGCGCCTGGTGCTGCTGGACGACAGCAAGCACTGGTGGAAGGTGCAGAATGGGCAGCGGCAGTGGGGGTTTGTGCCCTCCAACTACGTGAAGCGGGAGAAGCCCTCCCTGTTCGACAGCATCCGGCGGCGGGGTGCGCAAGCGCAGCGAGGCCAAGCTGTCCCCGGCCTCGTCCCCCGTGGCCACCAAGGCCGGAGGGGAGCCCGAGGAGGAGGAGGCCTCGGCGGTGGGCACGGCCCTGGTGCGCTACAACTACGAGGCCAAGCAGGCCGACGAGATCTCGCTGGCCAAGGGCACCAGGGTCCTCGTCATGGAGAAGTCCAGCGACGGCTGGTGGAAGGGGGAGCACTGTGGCAACGTGGGCTGGTTCCCCTCCAACTACGTCCAGGTGAGCTTTTGCTGTCCCCCTGTCCCTTTTGCAGCCGGAAACTGTAGTCTGTGACGGGCTAAGGATGCGGGAGAAGCACCACCTCCGGTACGCGTCGCCCTCCACTTGGTTGTGCCTGCGAAAATCTGGCCGGTTCTCACTTTTCGTAATAATTGGAGACTGCACGTGTTTGTGCGCTTTGGTGTTGTTTCTAGTTTCGCATTTAGTAGTAATAGTAATCTTTGTCGGTTCCTGAGAGCCATGGCAGCGCAGAAAGGCGACAGCCCGTACCAGGTTGACCCACGGTGCCGCTTCTAGTTATGGTGATTATGCGACGATATAACGTACAAGATGAAAGTGATTATGAGATGATTTGTAGGAGGTTTTCTAACATTACAGGCACCGTTGGCACAGTTGTTAGGCTATTGTCGGCTACCTTTTTTTATATCCAGAAATGGCAACAATTAGTTCTAAATATTCACTATCGGAAGACAAACCCTTTTGACTTTCTTATTGAAAGGCGAGCGACCTAATGACATTGCACACTGATGGCTTCAATTGCCAGTAAGCAGGCGTGCGCGTTGTCACCTGACAAGGGTGGCACATACAGTCTCAAATTGTATAATGTAAATGTTTGCGCTTCCGTATCTGTTACCACCGTTCTCTGCCTTTGGTACAAGGAAAGCTGAAGATGTAAAGATTGTCGAAGGAGTGCGGATTAACTGGAAGACGTGCGATAGTTGCGGAATGCACTACGAGTATTTCTGCGAGACAAAGCACGTGCCCGAAATGTCTCGCGAACGGCTTTTCCGCACTGGAAAAGGAGTTAAAGGCAAGTTTCGCCAATTCATGCGGCCGAAAGCTCGACCCAGTATGTTTTTCCTCCGGCCACGGGAAGAGGAGCACGGTAGTCCATCCAGAGTTGCGAATTCTAGAAACCGAGCAAGGACAGCAGCATTGTTTTATGCCACCGTTGCGTTTGAAAAGTAGAGCCCACGAGGCATTCTGCACATGCACATAGTTATACTCCCGCGGTATTAGATCAAAGAGTTACCGTGCCCTATTCTCCATGTATTGCATCACGAGCATTTGCTCGGTACTTTCATCCATGTTCAATGCTCGAATGTGTAAAAATCGTATGCAGTGCCTTCTTAGTGTCTGTTGGCTCTTGGAGATTATGTATCTGTGAGACAGGGGGCGATGCAGATAGGGCCATCTGAGTCTGCCGTAGCTTGTGTAGAGGCAACTTTCACGCCTTTAGGTGGTCGTTAGACAGTGACAAAGTGGAATCAGCAGCGTTTCTAAAGTTCCGACTTTGGCAGCGTCTGTGGTGTCTGCCATTGCGCAAGGACCTTATCGCACTTTCCTTACCGTGCTGTCCTGCTTCCGAAAGGGGAAGGTTTGTGCCGCACGACATTGTTTGCACCGTTCTTGAAGTGCCCGTCTGGGTGCAGGAGGAGGCGGAGCCGGCCACCCCGGAGGGGGACACGGTGCAGCCCCCGGCCAAGGCGGCGTCGCCCCCCACGGTGCTGGAAACGGTGGTGGCGCTGTACTCGTTCACGCCGATGAACGAGGAGGAGCTGAGCTTCGCCAAGGGGGAGCAGCTGGAGGTGGTAGACAAGCCCGAGAACGACCCGGACTGGTGGAAGGCTCGCAACCAGGCCGGCCACACGGGGCTCGTGCCCAAGAACTACGTTCAGGTGGGTGTACTCGCACTCTTGGAGCAACTTCGGTCTCGCGCTTGCCTCGCCGCTCTCTTCGTTTTCAAAGAGGCGGGGCGGCAATCTTCGTACTCTTCGTAATTCCGCTTAGAATTTATCCTCGATGTTCACAACCTACAAAACATGCGTTACTCTTTGCCCCATGCGTTGATAACATCGCTAAACAAGAAAAAAGGGTGCTTCCCCTTTCACTTTACAGCCAGAACAAGAGGCCACGTGTTCTGGAGTCGTTTGGATGCTGCCAATGTTATCGTACCCACGCGTTGGTGTTGGCAAAACACAGAACACGCGCCGAGTTGCAGACGTCATTAGGGTTCGGCTAATCTCATCATTGCGGCGAGTGAAGACGCGCCGCTCCCCGAGTGTTCCTCGAGCCTATTGACTGTTACTGGGTAGTCTAAATCGAGCACTTATGCAGATCTCGTGTCCAGTCTATGAGATGGGGAGGCCCCCTGACAGGGGTTCCTCCTTTGGAGGAGGGGAAAAAGCAAATATTACTATGGCAACGGTTGTCCAGCGCATGATGCCCTTGACTGTCGTCGACCCACTGGTGTCGCCCTTTTGTGCCCCTTCGCGGGGTTGGGCTGTGGGGTCCTTTGTCCTTGTCGGTCCTTTCTGGGTCGTTCTTTTGGCGAGGCGCAGTTTTTTCTTAGTTCAGTTCCCAATTGGCTTTTTGGTGAAATTCCCACCTGATCCAAGAATCCAATTCATTTATATTGAAATGGCTTTAAATTGGGTACCGATTGAGGATCATATATTTTTCATTCTTTTAATTTCTTCACCTTAACAAACGTTCATTCTACAAGCCGCATTCAAATATTACCACAGAGGAGTCATCCCTGCAAACTACGAGGACACGGCGACCCCCATGCTTAGTCATGGAGTTTTGCGAAGGAGATGAGGAGAAAAAACTTATACTACCGTGACAAAGAATTTCCTTGGTCAGTGGCAATGCGTGCAAGCATACTTGGGTCTCTTTAGTTCCAGCAACCCCGTGTAAAGCATTCAGAGTCCTTGCACTGCCCTTTTAACCCCCCCAAAGTTGGATTTAGAGTCTGCCTCGGAGAAGTAGCGTGCTTTAGCTTTGCTCGTAGAACCCCACCTGTTGGGCCCGGGAAGGTCGCCCGGAAGCATGTGCCAATGCCAGGATGTACAACAGGCAAAGTTGGTTGGCAAACGAGGAAGGGGCAAACGGCCCTTAGCACGCCGATGTCGCAAAAGAGACCCACATTCGGCAAGAGTCCCGGAGCTCTGCGTACGTACGATGGAGTCCTTAAAAGTGTTTTTTCCCTCGAGTGTGACCTGGGCTGGATTCTGGTGCGACATGTTGGGTGCAGACGTCTTGTGGGGAAGTAGATGTGCGAGCCTAGTGGGTACAGCAGACACTCTTTTAGAAACATTATTCTTTCGCCTGTTTTTTTTTAGAATATGTCGCGTATGGTGATTCTAACCTTTAGAAAAAAAAATCTCCTCACTGTGTCGATATGTGTAATATGTCAGTGGCTCGAACCTCCGAATTAGTTGTACGAGCTTACTGCAACTTTTCTTGTCCACACTCTTCTTGTAGTGTCACGTACAGGATGAGGGAGAGTCTCTTTTCCGAAGGAGACTTATTAATGAAAACAAACTTCTTGTCAGTAAGGTGTTTGTTATCTTTACTTTAAAGTGCTGCTTTTATGCCATCTTAGTTGATTCATGTCTGCCAGCAAACAAATAGGAATCAAAGTTTTTTTTTTTTTTCTAAACAAGAAAAGTAAGGTTATTTTTGGCAGCAGATGGTCTGTATTATCATGCTTTATCAAGGTGAAGCTTGAATCTCGTAAAATTTGCGTTGTGAATGTGCCTTTGCATGGGTGCTATTATGGCCAATATTGTGGCATTGATATGATTAATGACCTAATAATAATAATAATTACTATGAAATTTAGTCATAAATGGGACTGAAATGATATGTATTGTGTAACAGCATTTTTTTTGTATGAGGTTGTTACAATACTAGACTATGTAAAAACATTTAAAAAATGCAATACATAAAATGCTCCACAAATAAAAGGGTATATGAAACACAAAAATTAAATGTAACCCTGCAGGAAGCAGTGACCGTAAAGCACAACTATATTAGGCAACACAAATATTTTTGCAAGTCGCACTTTACGAAAGTTTTCAGAACTTACAATTACTAAGTAAGTGTTTGCACTCTGCGGACTGCCGTTTAGACGGTTGAGGTATTTAGTAATTTTATTTACATGTAGGTACATTTATTTACCAAGCTCCATGTTAAGAACTTATGCTTGATTCGTCACCAGAGAACTGTAGCAATTCAGTGTATAAAACATGCACCAAAGCTGGTTACCTAATGTTTTCACACACACAGTATACAAAAAAAAAAACTCAAAAGTAAAAAAAAAAAACTTATATATATGTATATATATATTCAGCAAAACATTATACGCAGTTAAGTTAAAGAAGTCACCGGATGAGAGAGATTATGACAGACTTATTTTCTTAAAGTTGACGAAAAATAGTGTTAAAGTGGTCCTGCACAAAATAAGGCTGGTGAATCTTCAACGAATGAATTGAAAAGCTTGACAGATTGCAGAAATACTACAGAAGTGTACAACTGTGTCGAAATGCTTTCAAAGCATGCACTGTGGTTTCATCCACACAAAACATGTTTTATTGTCCGTGTTCAAGTTCTCAGGACTCTATCTAAGTTTGTGTCCTTGTGAGTTTTACAGCGAAGCTGTTTATGGCTAGGGTTCCGTAGATTTTTCATGTGTGTCAACAAAAACTCTACGCTCGCACCGCCACGCGTGCACGCTTCCCCGTATAAAAGATTCAAAGTAAATAACCAGAATAAAGCGTTGACGAATGTGCGTGCAAGATGCCATTTGTTCTAGGCTTTTGCTATAGACCTTTCCAAAAAGAGCGCTCTGGCCGCCGCCATTTTGCGAACCGAGCGACCCCTATCAGCCAGAAATTTCTGGCACCCGCCTGAGCTGTGGAAACCCGGTCAGCGTGACTCCCCACCTGCATTGTGCATTCAGAGTTCGCCGGCTTTTCTTGGAATTTTTTACTTCATTCGCCTGTTTAGGATGCTTACCCTTTGCGTGTTATCTTCCACTGTGAGAACCAGGGAATACCAGGGCTCGTAGCGGCCTTCGCAGGAAACGAACGAAGAGAGCGAACGTCAAGCAGCCCGCGACGCAGGCAGTTCGACGTTCTTGGAGGATTATTTCCGTCGAGATAATCTCCAAAAAGCCTTCTCGGCTGTGTTCCGGGTCTTCGCAAAAAATAGCTGATAGGGTCGGGTCCGGGGTGTGGCGACACAATAAGCACGTTCGTTCATTTGCAATGAAGCTGTGCAAAAAAAGGAGCTCTTTTCTACATGTTCCCCAAAACACGCCAAATTCCGTCCGATCGTCGTGAAGTGACTATCGTCGACACTGTATATTGGACATGCTGTGTTATTTGAGACCTTTCTCAAATCCTGTTCGGATAACGCGGCACCGTGGGGTACGTACAATATATTTTTTGTTCGATTGATGAGATTCATTAAATTTTATGTTGTGGGCGGGGAATATCCCTGCAGTACGGATATCCTGTGTGGTCAAATATTTTGACCTTTATAGATTGACACGGCTGAATTAACGGTGCCCTAAAACAATGAACATAAAATGAAACAAACATTCCAGTTGCATTTGTTCTGTCGCGCACGGACTCACCAAAACAGCTTTCATTTCTTTGTTTTTGCTCCCAAAAATAGAGAACTGCTTTCTTAAAGACCTCTATAAATTATGCTCGCCACAGAACACAAGATAAAAAAGAAAACGCGGCAATTCAGCCGCCACCAGCGTCCGGAATTGCGCCCAACGCAGGCTGCCACAGCCTACTGACGAGGAACTCCACAGCTCAGCGCAGTCGGGCAACACTGACGTACACTCTCAAAACCAGGGACACGCGCTGTAAATCGCTTCGTTCGAGAATGCCGCTGGAAAGGTCTATAGAAGAGTTACTGCTGCAGACGCTGGCACATGCGGCACGTGGAACACCATTCCCTGCGTTCTCCTTGATGCTTGGGTAATTTAACAGTAGGTCTATTCAGTAGATTAGTTATCAGTAGGCAGCATTTTCAGGATCAGCAGGCTCTCAGGTAGGTAATAAAGGTTTCTCAAAGATTAGCCGCTGTGCAACCCGCGTCGGCCATGTCTACACTCGCACTGCCCTCTCTTTGTCGTCGTTCCAAGCGCTTGCGTGCCTAGTTTCCTTTCCTTCCGCTCTCCCGCGGTGGCGGTGCCGTCGCGTTTGTCTACTTTTCACCGGGAGGCGGTCCCGTCGTGCGTGTCTAGTTTCCTCCGGCTCCTTGGGGCGGGTTTGTGTCGTCTGCTAAACAGCTTCGCTGATCATCCACCTTCGCAGACTGGCTCATGATTCTTGATAGACCAGACATGGGGCAGAACGCAAGCGTTACACAGCATGGCACTTCTCTCTAATACGAAAAGGTGAGGAAAGAAGCAGTCAGGTTATTAGAAGGGAGCACGTTTTTAGATAATACTGCAATACTGAGCGTTCGCACAGGTCAGAATTGAGGCAATTCACGAAGAGCAGCCGTCTCACTGCCGAGAGCCCAGAGGGCCGAAGTGAATTCATTGTTAAGACATGCTTGTCTGTTCACTTCATGGTCCCAGCATATCTGTCCTGCTACTCAGAGTTTCACAAACTCTTTCTAATTTGACGGTGTTGTCCCCTCTGTCCTTTGCTTTGCTCCACACGTGAGAGGACTAAATGCCCTTTGACGCCTTTACCTTCTCCCAGCCTTCTTCAACTCCAGAAAACGGGTTATCTCCTCTCGGCTGATTGAAACAACCACTAGCCCCTTGATTTTATGACTCAGTTTCTCGAGAAGCACTATCCCAATATTTTATGGCTTAGTTTGTCAACAAAGGTGCGCATATCGGTTATAGAATTCAGCTCTGTTGTCTTCAAATTATGCATTGATGAGTGATGCTTGAGATCACTGTCCACTCCTTCGCACACGCTTTTTTCGTGCCCCGACAGTGAGTAAATTCACTTGGTGACATTCGTCTTCTCGCATTCGTATAACTGGAAACAATATTAAGGCGAGACACCGCTTCGAAAATGGACAATTTTATTTTTGCAGCAATTCTAATGAAAATGACTGTGCGTATATGTTTCTTCTTCCTCCTTTCAGATATGAAATCAGTTTTAAGATACAGTAAAACCTCGTTATAACAAAACGGGATATAACAAACTAATGGATATAACAAAACAATCATAATTCCCCTTGCTTGCTAATAGAGGGAAGAAATGGACATTGGCTATAACAAACTAATGGTTATAACAAAATAATTACGACCGCTCCTTCAACTTTGTTATAATGAGGTTTTACTGTATCTCAATTGGTTTCTAAGCTATAAAAAATAGCATTGCTGAATTTGGTCATTTCTTACGAATCATTGAAATCATTTCCAACAAAAAATATTTTTTTATATATCTAGATACATAGCTAAAGGTTTGCCATGCATTATAAAGCTATTTATATTTTCACAAAGTTACATTATTATACAAAAATTGGCTAATTATGACAATAACGAGGTGACTTTATTTATCATAATTTCTTTTTGTCAGTCTAAACTGTAAAAATATAGCTTTACTCTGTAGTCCAGTCCTTTCTGAATAAAACAGTGTCAAAATTTTCAGAATGCTACTATAAAAACTTCATGAAAACCCTCGTAAGCCTAAGCATGTTGACAAAAAACACGAAGATAAGGAAAATGAAAGTTAAAGTTTTGGCATTGAACATAAAAAATTGTGTGAAGAATGATTAATAATAATTATCATCAAGGTGCAGTGTAAGTCTTCGTGAACAACTTGACATAAAAATTATGTAATTTGTTCATGGGAACATTAGAATAAAGATATGAAAGAAATGAAGAATGAGTGAAATGTTGATAAAATCCCATTTTCCTGTTTTGATACCGACTAGAGTAAATTACATGAAAACCCTTATTTATGCAATAAAAGTTATCAAGATGTAGTGTAGTGCATTCTGAACAAACTAATTTAAAAATTGCAATAATTTGTTTTCGAGAACATTGCAAAAATGTTTAAGAATGACTGATATATGCAAAAAATAGCTTGTAAAGTTATGAGCCGACAATTATGGACAACGGGAGGGGCGAGCGAGAGTTTTCAGCTCCAAATGCAATTTTGTTTGGCCCTAAAAAGGGCCTTTGTTCCACATGGCACTTAAAAATGCCATTACAGCTGTCCGGGACTGTAATTCTGAGACGCTCCTGCCTTGTGTCGCTTGGAGAACCTTTCCTTCATGCTGCTGCTGCTCTGGCGCACCGCGTTCGTTTTACGTAAACGGAGAGTGTTCTTTTCGATGCTTCGGCGGACAAGGCAGTTCCGGTGGCGTAGCCCAGGTCTGTGGCGATGGATTCGTTGGTCGCCCTCCTTCCTTGGTTGTAGACAGCGACAGCTTTAGCCGGAGCCTTCTTCATGTTTTCCAGGGAGGCATTCGCATTCTTTGAAGTCTGCGTCCAGATCACCTAATGCAGGCTCTCAATGGCATTCTGCGTCTTTCCCTCACTGCACCGTGCCAACAGGTCTTCATTGCTGAGCCTTGCAAACACTGGCCGAAGTGCAGCCCAAACGAAATCCGGAAGAGGATTCTTGTGCGGCGGCGAAGGTTCACTGCTTGCCAAGGCCCTGTTGAGCTTGCACCAGGACTCAGCTCCATCGGGGCACTTGCTGTGGTCTGGGGCACTTTCTGTGGAGGTCATGTGCAGGAGTGTGGCTTCCACTGCCCTCTTCATCCCTGGAGCATCGTGGCTCTTGCTCTTGAGAGGATAGCCATAATAGTTAGTGATCTTCTTGATCTTTTCCTGCGTCAGCTTGCCTCTCCCACCGAGTGCCTTCTTCTTCTCAACGACATTGCACAAGGCAGCTCCCATCTGCTTGTGGACGTGGTTCACACAGTCCTTCTTGTCTATCTTGATGAAGCCGTAAACCTTCGCTTCACACAAGGCATGAAATGTCCGGCTGTCTCCATCCGAAAGTACGGTGGTGTAGCGGAGTCCATGCTTGGTCGGAGACCTCTGGAACATTGTGGGCGCAGCCTCCACCTCCATACGACCACCATTGCACCCAATGTTCTTCTGGCAGTCGGGGGTTGCATACCAGTCGCTGTAGCCATCGTCCTCGGGCTCTGGTCCCACGGCAGATCCAAAGGCAGAAGTTGGAGTGTACCATATGGATCAGTGACCAGGCCAGAGTACAGCTCCACAATGCAGCCTACACCAAAGTGGAAGCTGCTTCCTCGGGTCATCCATGATCCATCGAAGACGACATTGATGTTGCCAATGGGGCTCATGAAGCCTGTGTACAAACAAACTCCTTTGCCAATCGACTGGATCCCCTGCATGACCTTCATGTTGACTTCAAAGGGAGTGAGTGATCTTGGCTGTTCCAGCAACTCTGGAAGAGGAGAACTGCTTCTTCTGGAAGTCACAAGTGCTGCAGACGAGCACAAGCTTGACGGCCAAGCCGTACTCCTTGTCCATGGCCTTGCTAAGCGCGAGGGCTCCCGCAGCGCAGCTTTCACACCTCGCTTGCACGAAGAGGTCGTTCAGGGCTTTCATGTCAACGATGACGAACTGGGTCCCAGTATTGCTTGTCTGGCATTCTGCGTTGACCTCAAGCAGATCAAACTTCGCTGGATCACCGACTTCCCCGATAAAACATGCTTGCGTTGCTTCAATCGCCCGGCGCGCTGGGCGTGCTCGACCGAAGAGTAGTATGCGAAGTTGACGCGAGTTCTGCCGGCAAAACTTGAGCCATCCGTACCAGAGCTTGAGGCCGCAGCATCTTCATAGGGAAGGCTAGCCGATGCTCCCGGTAGATTTAGGGAGTTCGACCATGGCAAAGATCATAGCGGCGCACTTGCAGATTACATCTTCCGTTTGTTTCACGCACGTTGCGTCTTGCTTCCGAACGTCCGCCGCATGCTCTTTTTCAACCGAGAGTCCCTTTGCGTTTCGATCGCTCGAAATAAAACTCCCGCAACTTTGAGCGAGAAAAACCGGTTTACCCTACACCTCCTGCACCAGCGCAGAAAAGTGTAGTGCAGTGCATTTCCGGTATGTGTATTGAGATATGAGCGGAAGTACACCGCACTACACTTTTCTGCACTGGTGCAGGAAGTGCAGGTAAATCGAACAAGCCTGCTGTCCGACGTGAACGCGCAAACATAAATGAAACAACGTGCACTGAGCCGCGGAGCGAACAAAGCAGACGGGCCAAGACGAAGCAGGTGACGCTTCCCTTCGCTCCCCTTACACTGCTCGAGGTGCGCGCGCCGGGAGTAGGAAAGGAGTAAAAGTGGAAAGGGGCACGACTTGGCTTATGACAGGAGCGCATGGCACGACGTACCCGTGACGTGCGTGCGCTTTCCAATTAGCAATTGTTATTCCCGTCGTGAAAACCTGTGGAATGTGGGCGCTTTTCAAGGTTGTTGCGACAGTGAGTGGCATGAGGACATAGGGAAGAGGACCAGCTCTCCAACAAGAGCAAGATGGCCACTATCCGACGATCGGCTGTGAAACGACTCTCATTCCGTATTTAAACTAATCAGTTGTTAATTACTCTTCTATGTTTTTAAACATAACCTGGAAAACCCGTATTTCGTAATAATTCATTAAACAATTCAATTTCTCCCCGTTACCGTCTTGGATCAAAGTGCGTAAAACAAGATTTTTGCTTTCTACAGCGTTCTTGGCATCGGCATTGTTCTTAAAGCTTTGTGACTATGCATTTCTGATGTGACTGGACTAGGATATGTGCGAAGGTTTCCAGAAAAACGGAGTCTCGCAGAAAGTGCAGCTTACTACGCCGTCCTGGCGTCAGCAGGAACATACATGGCAGCACCCATGCAGCAGAGGAGACAGTGGTTTATAAAATCTGAAAACGAAGGAGCCTAAATATATAGACCAAAACTGGACAAAGTAGTTGAACGCAACCTTTTATTATAAAACTTGGGAATGCCATCCATGTGACACGAGCGCCAACCTTGCTACGGCGGTCTAAACAACCATAAATATACGACGGGGATATTAGCAGGCGACAAGGTGGGAAGGAACGATGGTAAATTTCGCAAACAAAACGAGAGTACCTTTACAGAAAGCAAGATTGGGTAAGGACGACAAACGTTTCGTAGAAGCTACACGAGCTGTAAAACGGTAGTCGGAAAGTACAAAACATGCAAACCCGTTGCGGAGAGCTGACCCGACGATCCTTCCACCAGGTGGTGGCCTCCCCACGAGGGGGCGGGACGGCGTCTCCCCCCGCCTCGGGAGGAGGGCCCCCTCCCAGCCTGGACCCCCACCGTGGGGGGGGCAGCCCCCCTCCCCCCGTGCCCCAGGTGGTCTCGGTGGTGGCGGGGGGCCAGCAGCCCAGGGGCCGCCCAGAGCTGCGGGCCAAGGAGTGGTACTTTGGCAGCATCCCCCGCAGCCAGTGCGACCAGGTGCTCAACGAGTGCGCCCAGGACGGGGACTTCCTCATCCGCGACAGCGAGACCAACGTGAGTCGCGGCGCACCGCTAACATGGATTTTGGCCAAGCAATGGCCAATGGCTGGCGATGGTCTTTTTGTCCGAATAGAGTGATGTGATTGACCTTAGCCATTTTAGAGCACCTTTTGGAGCAGCCAAAACCGTGTTTTGGAGCAGCATAAGTGGCCTTTGCAGCAACCAAAACAGTGTTTCGGAGCAGCAGAAATGGCTTTTGGAGCAGATATTCTTAAAAAATAAACATATTCGTTTTAGGTGCTGTACAAGCAAAGGGCACTTTGTGTTGTGTTCTGATGTGACGTGTTGTGACGGAACTCGCTGCTTGTGTTTTTACTACTGAGACATCCCTCTATTGTACAGTGCTGTAGGCATCGCCGAGCAATTCCGAAAAACTGCTTACCACCGTTTTACTGGTTCCCGACGTGCCAGATTTTCGTATAAAGTGAGCAAACGTAAAACAATGGATTGCAAGCGTCCCAGCTGGTGTCTCTGTCTCGTGTGATCATGTTCACATGCACGTGAGGACAACTTTGGCAGGCTTGCAGTTGCACGTGCTTCGTCGCGCGAGCGGAGACAGCTGTTCGATCGAAACCGAAACCATGCCACTCCGCTTCGTCGCCAATTGATTCCCAAAATTGTATGCAAAATGTAACTGTGGAGCATACAACAAAAAAAAAAAAAGTCCAGCGGCGCGTGCTTGCCAGGTTGGCAAACAAGGTACAAGCTATACACATACACAAAAAAGAACCTGAGTGCATCGATGCAAGGCATTGCAAGCCAGGGTCAAAGTTCTTGGAGCACTTTATGCAACGACTGAACTCGAGACAAACAAGCGCGCTGTACGGGTTCAGCGTGCAGACATTGCCTTATTTGCTTTAGCTCACTTCTCTTCACCAACTTTCTTTGGCGGCAGATTTTTCATGTACCGGGGTCACCCTCGAAAGAAAGACCACCGAGAGAAACCTAGGCAATCAATACTTTGACTCAGCAGTCTTTGAGGGATTTTTATAGTAGCATATGATTTAAACAAGAACAGGAATGTTGAGGAACATGCGGCGGTACTTAGTTTCATTTTAGAAAGTGCCATATCTGCAGCAACGTGGGGACGGCAACACCCGACGTCGCGCGACTACGGTGACTGGAAGGCGGGGACCAAGTATAGCTTTCCCGCGGCCGTTGCTTTTAGGAGCGAGTGCTTCAGTTCACAAAGTAACTCCCGCCACGTAAAAACGTGGTTTCGTTTCACAGCATGACGGCATGGCTGGTACCCGGCACGCTAGCGTCGGAGCGTCCACACACACCCACATCTATCGTTGAAAATATGTTAAAAAAAGACAAGAGACGAGACTCACCAGACGACGAGAGCACGAAACACGATACGGCGGGAAAATCATGGAAGAGCGGATGAACAATTGAGGCAGGGTACTTTGTGATGGGCGACCGCTTGCGCCACATAACACACGCATGTTCAATTACGGTACTCAGTTTAGTGTCGGTATCGAAAGGCGACAAATATTTATTTTTTGGCGCTGGCTTGGCGCAGATTACCTATATTTTGGCAAAATTTAGCAGGATGTAGCAGGGTTAGCCCCTTGGCACAGTTTGGCGCAATTAGCGCAGCAATCGCATCACTGCAAATAATCAAACTTTCGGACTTCAAGCTGTCCGAAACATTGGTCGTGAATATACACTATTTTTATGGGGTAAGTCACGGTTCCGTCTTTAGGTCCAAAATATTGAACAAGTCCGAATTATCGGAGTCCGAAGAAACGGTCGGCGACTCTACTCGTTGAGTCTTTCCGAACGACAAATTTTTGTTCCACAAGCCACTGGAAAACGCGTTTGCTGACTCTCTCCCCTACCTCTTTTTCTTATTTACTCACCTGCTTCATCCTGATCATGTTTTTGTATCTGTGAAGAATCGAGTGTAACAGATATGTGAAATAAGAAAGACGAGACCGTTTGAAGTAGAAAACAATGTTATATCAGAAAACAATATGCCAAGATGAAAACACACTAATTAAATTTACACACGAAAAACTATGAATGGTATGACTTTGGGGAAATAGTTACAGGACTGCACATTCAACAGATTGTTCTCGCAATGTCGGCACACTGCTTCAGTGCTGCTCGCTAAAGGCAACCTGAAAGTTCACTGTAACAACTTATCGCTTTCTTGTTTCGTGGCGCTGGGTCTTGAGAGGTGTTGTGCGATGGAGTGGCGACAAAGCACATACTGCAAAGCCCAGGGTTCAGCTTGAAGCCGGTGAGTCAGAGGCGGCGTTGGTGCGGCGTCGGCGTCTGGGGTGGCATGTTGGAATAAACTGGGCCGCTGTGGTCTTGATGTGTGCTCCGCAACGTGTGCACCAGATATCAACTGGGGTGAAGGCCTCGCCAGAGCCGGAGGTCAGGCCAGGTGGAAGCCTTGAAGAACCTGAGTCTGGACGCCCGGCGGTTCCCTTCCACATGCTGGTCTGCCCGCTCGAATACACTTCATTTTTTGTTCTCTGCCTTCCTTCTCTTTTTCTTTCTTGTTGCAGAGCGTGTGCCACGAAGATGACGCGTGCGCGCACACACAGTTCGTCACGTGCACAACGCGGCACTAAGATGATTAGGCACGCGCACACACACACACACCGTCGAAATCCGCGCACGTTGCAGTATCTGTTAAAGTCGTGCATTGTCACCCTAGTTTAAACGGCACAGCAGACCTACATGGTATAGGCTCTAACCTTCCTGCTGTGTCGTAGCTTTCCTGTGCCTGAAATATTAATATTATTGTTGCGATTATGATAAGTATCATTATCATCCCCAAAGTCCTACTGTGAATAGACGACTCGGTGAAAACAAAATTGGCGTAACAATACCACTAGCATGTTCTGAGCAACCTAGCATTAATAGACGCAGGTGAGCTGGTTCTGTTAAACTAAACTAACAGATTGGTTTTAAGGAACTTGCAGTGATGTGATTGCTGCGCCAATTGCGCCAAACTGCATCAAGGGGTTAACCCTGCTACATCCTGCTACATTTCGCCAAAATATGGATAATCTGCGCCGAGCCTGCGCCAAAGGACCCATTTCGGTTGCCTTTCAAAACCGAAACTAAACTGAGTACTGTAATTGAGCAGGCGTGTGTTATGTGGCGCAAGCGGCCACCTGACACAAAGTACCGTGCATCCATTGTCCACCCGGTCTTGCATGGTTTTCTCGGCGTCTCGCGTTTCGCGCTCTCGTCTTGTGGGTCTCGTCTCTCGTCTTTTTTTTATATATATTTTCAGCGATTGACGCGGATGTGTGCAGACGCTCCGACGCTAGTGTGCTGGGTACCAGCTATGCCGTCATGCTATGAAACAAAACCACGTTTTTGCGTGGCAGGAGTTACTTTGTGAGCTGAAGCAATGGCCGTGGAAAAACTATATTTGGTCACTGCCTTTCAGTCGCCCTGGTTGCGCGACGTCGAATGTTGCCGTCCCCACATCACTGCAGATATGGTACTTTTTAAAATGAAACTAAGTACCGCCGCATGTTCATCAACATTCCTGTTCTTGTTTAAATCATACGTTACTACAAAAATCCATCTTTAATACAAAGACTGCTCTGTCAAAGTATCGATTATCTAGATTCCTCTCGGTGGGCCTTCTTTTGAGAGGGACCTCGGTACGTGAAAAATCTGTCGTGAAAGAAAGTTGGTGAAGAGAAGTGAGCTAAACCAAGGAAGGCAATGTCTGGACGCTGAACCGACGCAGCGTGCTTGTTTGTCTCGAGTTCAGTCGTTGCAAAAAGCGCTCCAAGAACTTTTCGAGGCTGGCTCGATGCACTCAGGTTCTTTGTTTTTTGTTGTTTAGCTTGTACCTTGTTTGCCGGCCTGGCAAGCACGCACCACTGGACTGTTTTTGTCGCATGCTCGAAAGTTACATTTTGTGTACAATTTTGGGGATAAGTTAGCGACGGAGCTGAGCGGCATGGTTTCGGTTTCGATCGGACAGCCGTTGTCTGCGCTCGCGCCACGAAGCATGCCCAACAGCAAGCCTGCCGAAGTTGCCCTCACGTGCATGCGAACATGATTGCGTGACTGAGGCACCAGCTTGGACGCTTGCAATTCATTGTTTTACATTTGCTTACTTTCGACGAAAATCTGGCACGTCGGGAACCAGTAAAACGGTGGTGGCAAGCGGTTTTTCGAAATTGATGTCCGAGCAGTAAAAACAGAAGCAGCGAGTTCCGTCACAACACGTCACATCAGAGCACAACACAACACAAAGTGCCCTTCGTTTGTACAGCACTGAAAACGAATATTCTAATTTTCCTAAGAATATCTGCTCCAAAATCCACTTTTGCTGTTTCGAAAACACTGTCTTGGCTGCTCCAAAGGCCACATTTGCTGCTCCAAAACACTGTTTTGGTTGCTCCGAAACGTGCGCCAAAATGGCTTAGGCCAATCACATCACTGAACTTGCCACGCTGAGTCTAGCTTGTGCTTTCCACTTTGGTTATGTTGCACAAGGAATTTGTTTCCATACACTTGCCTTATTTCGTGGCCCTGAAAGGACACCGTGCACAAAGTTCAATTAAAGAGTCGCTGAATTCCCCCAAAAAGTGCCGGAATACGATGCAATACCGTGGTGTAATAAACACATTTGGAGTTGGGAGCAATGCCACAAAATGTTTTTAGAGCGCAGCTCTTAGACGCCAGTTTCCGGGTTGAGCAGCGTCGGCGTAACCGCACATTGCATTATGGGACATTTCCCTGTTGAAGTTAACAAAGAAATTTTCCCGCTAAATTTAGCGGGAAATTGCGCTATGTTTGCCTGGAAAATTGTTCCGCTAAATTTCCCAGCTAAATTTAGCGGGTAAATTGACGTCATGTGACCTCAACAGTAATTCAGTTTCCCTGCTAAACTTAGCAGGAAAATGTTTGCTAAATTTTCCTGCTAAATTTAGCGGGGAAATATTCCTGATAAATTTAGCGGGGAAATTTTCGCTAAAATTTGGAAGAAATTTCGTGAAAATGTTTTGCTAAATGGGAGGGGAGCAGGAGAGGGGAAGGGGAGGGTACGAAGGGGCATACTCTCCCCTCATCCTCCTCAAGAGCTGCGCTCTAATTCAGCATTACAAGGAATTGTAAACGTCATTCATTTTTTTTGTTTTGGAACAAAGAATGAATGACGTTTACAATACTCTGTAAATCTGAATTAGAGCGCAGCTCTTGAGGAGGAGGAGCAGGGGGGGGTACACAAGGGAGGGTATGCTCCTCCTCTTCCATCCCCCTCCTCCTCCCACAGTTGCCCCACTAAATTTAGCTGAAAAATTGACGCCACGTGACCTCAACATCAATTCAGTTTCCCCGGTAAATTTATAGGAAAATGACAACACATGACTTGGTGTCACATCATTGATGAACAAATTCAGTTTCTCCGCTAGATTTAGCGGGAAAATTGATGTCACGTGACCTCAACACTGATTCAATTCCCCGCTAAAGTAAGCGGGGAATTGAATTGGTGTTGAGGTCATGTGACGTCAATTTTCATGCTAAATCTAGTGGATGAACTGAATTTTTCCATTAAATCTAGCGGAGAATCTGAATTTTCTCTCTAAATTTAGCGGGGAATTGAATTGGTGTTGAAGTCACAAGACGTCAAGTTTCCTGCTAAATTTAGCACAGTTACGCCGACACCACGAAACGCAGAAACGGGCAGGTAAGAGCTGCGCTCTAAAACAGAATTCCAGAACATTAAACCCAAAATAGAAGCACCTTTTGGAACCAGTCAAAAGAGTCTCCCGGCATAAACGTTGCACTTCTTTTTTGTCAGGCAGGTTTATTTTTGTGGCATTGGACAGGGAAGAGGTTTGGGACTCTGGTGTCGCCCCCTGGAGCCGTTCCACAGGACGGCTGCTTCCTTGCAGGTGGGGGACCTGTCGGTGTCCCTGAAGGCGCCGCTGCGCAACAAGCACTTCCGGGTGCACGTGGAGGACGGGGTGTTCTGCATCGGCCAGCGCAGGTTTTCGCAGCTGGATGACCTGGTGGAGCACTACAAGCGGGCACCCATTTACACCAGCCCCAAGGGGGACAAGATGTTCCTGGTCAGGCCCTTCAAGAGGCCCTGAGGGGACGGTGGCCCCCCCTGGCAAACAAGACGGGGAATGTCGCCGAGCGGCGTAGTCACGCGGTCCACTCCGACGCCGGGAAAGAGGGAAAAATGCGACGCAATGTGGGTCTCCGACAACCTCGACGTGGGCGCACTTCCCAAGAACGGGCATGCGCCGAGTCCGAGAGAAGCCAGGGTCGGGTGGAGAGATGGTTGCAGCGTGGCACCTCACGAGATTCGGGGAATGCCGGCCAACCGCCACGGAAGAGGGGAAGGCGCCTCTCCCAGTGGATGGCGAAATGCTCGCTCCTACGTCGGCTCCCGCAGGCAGCACATTTCGAGGCGAAAGCGGCCTACCGCCGTTCGTCGTCGAGAGGGGTTGTGGGATCCAAGGAGACTCGGAAAGCTCAGCGAGGTCGGGAAGCTCCGTGCACGCCGGCAGATCCACGTCGAGACGACAGATCCAAAGAACCAAGAAAAATGGGTGCGTCACACAGCGTGGGACGTGCTTGCCAGAGTTCTCGAGCTACGGAATTGAATCGTGAAAGCTTCGGCGAGCGTGCGACGAGCGCTTCCGACCTCTGTCCTGCGGACCTCGGAAGTGCAGGGAAGACCCTGGAGGCAGCCGCTTATTTATTACGACCTTCGCATCGGGTGCGACCTTCTTCCTTCGCTCTCCATTGCCTCTCGGTTGGACAACTTTGTTTTGTACGCAGTGTTGTAACCACCAGTCTGTGTCGGGCGCTGGGAGGAACTCTCGGAGGCAACGGCCACAAAGTCCGAGGAGCTTGCTGGGTCTCGAGACGGAGAGACTCCTTGGACGTCCCGGAGCGTCAATGCTCCGTGGAGCCGTGGACGGAAGTGAACTCCGCATGTGCACCACACTGGGCTTGGAGGCCGAAATGTGCGGGGAAATGGACGTCCATCACTTTCTACTTTGACGGAGGGTGTAAATCTAGGAGTGCCATTGACCTTTCTTTTTCTCGTCCTTGTTTCATGTTTGCGCGTCTGGGTCAAACTTTGGCGGCTAGAAATGACGGGGAGACGTCGCGAGGCTGGGGATCGTCGCTACATTTTTTATTCGGTCGGTTTGGCGGTCCCGGAACAAGCGAGCAGAGAGAATTGTGCGACGCTCGCGTGCTTCTCTTTTTATGCAAATATCATTTTAGGCAAGATACTTTCTTTTTCGCGGTGCAGCTGTGGCGAGGGGCCGCGTCGAATCGAAGCCCTCTCGCGCGCGAGGTGTGGATTTTGGCCTGCCGCCCAATCGTTCGCGACCCAGTGTGTGCTAGTCATTGCATTTCCTTCCTTACAATGGCCCCGGTTTGTGTTCCGAACGTGCCGACCGATACACCACGCCGTTTGTAGCCTGGGAAACATTCCAATGGGGGTCAAATTTTAGCGACATTAAACTGCCGACCTCGAAGGTTTCTTGCGTCGGGCCAGCTCGGGGACTTTCCCGGGTTCTTACAAGACCTCACGTAAACGGCTCACTGACTACGAAACTCTCGGCTTTCCGCGAGGACTCGTCGACTCCGCGTGGTGCAGCACGGGCGGGCTTTCCTAGCTTCCGACGAGCCGAAAGTTTGCATTGCCACCGCGTCACTTTACTAACCATCTAACCGGGGATCGTTCAAACTTCAGAGTGAGCGAGTTACGGTACAGTGCGCAACACCATCAGTGTGAAAACGTGACGGCGGTGCAAGTCGTCGACTAGCATCAAATTACACTGCCTAGGTTAGTGCCACGAGCGAGACACTAAGAGTGTTCGACGACGGCCCTTCGATTTTACAAAAAAAGCGGGGAAAACTATTGCTCGTTCACACTACAGTGTCGCGCAGTGTACACTATTTGCCCCCAGATGGAGGGGCTGTCGGCCCGTGTGCCGCGGAGATGGTGCCCCCCAAGGCGTCAAAAGCGGCGGCAGGTGCAACAATTACCTCGTGCAGCTTGTAGGACGACGTTGGCAGTGCAGCACATCCTCCGAGTGTTGTGTGGAGGCTCGCGCAACGACGGAGGGCGGTACTTTTTACTTCTACGGGGGCTTTATTGCTACTTTGCAACGCATTGCATTCAGCCAGCTTCCTGCATTGGTGAAACCGATATGTGCTCTGCTTTTGTTTGGTTCTATGAGAAAGACAAACAAAGGCTACCAAGTTTAAGTTAAGGTCACTCCCTGCCCGTCCCCAAACAAATGGAACGAGATCTTTCTTTCGACAAACTGATACTTTTATCTTTTAGACCTCTGTACAATTTACGAGGATGTGTATAGCTGTGTTTGTGTGGGGGGAGGGTTTTTAGAGAAAAATGCCAGCGGAATGTCAAAGAAATGCTCAAGTTTTAGGTCAAATGGCACTACTTTTGTAAGTTTTGTTTCATTCAACTAGTTATTGCGTTACAAGAATTGCCCTTTGGAAGTGGCCGCTACCTCTCGGCTTTTTTTTTTTTGCCTTCCTTCCTCATACGCCAGCTCGAGGCTTCTGTGCAGCATGGGGAAGGCACGAGCGTGTGGCTACGAGAAGTGCTTTCGTTGCACGAGGGCTCGCGACCTTTGCTATTATTTTCAAACGGCAGTCATGCCGCCGTTTACAATGCCTAGGATTTCTTCGCCTCTCTCCGAGATGCAGGATGCTTCCGACAGTTGGGAGTTCATCCCCCCCATGCAACCTAACGACCTGCCAGCATTCTCACGAAACCAAATATACCATTTGCGACATCCCCCAAGTGCCCAAGCGCGCGCTAAAAGAATCATCATGGGAACTGTGTTCCTTCAGCCCCTTAGTGATCGGTAATTTCAGCCCTATTCTTGGTTACATAGGTTTTGAGCGTAATTCGGAGTCACCCTGAACAAGCGCCCGATATACCCCAATGACCCGTCATATCACTTTTAAAATTTCTCCTCAATGTCAGCGTTTTTGATACTGTGCATGCTGTCCACCCTTCAACCTGGATGGGCTGCAGAAATTTCTTACATTATTATCATGCTGATATTAATTTAGAAGCTAAAAATGCTATAAACAGCCCCGCGGACTCCGAGCTAAATCCTGGTTTTTGTTGGTGTGAATTATCGGCTTTTTAAGCAATTCCTGCTCAAACAAAAATCACGAGAATGATAATATTGTAAGAGATTTTTGCAGCTCAACCACGTTGAAAGGTGGACCTAATGCGCTGTATCAGAAATGGTGACGTTGAAGAGCAAATTTAAAATATGACGGGTCTTTGGGGTATATCAGGTGCTTGTTCAGGGTGACCTTGAATTATGTTTAGAAACTGTGTAACCATGGAGTTGGTCGAAAATTAGCGATCACTAGGGAACTGAAGGAACACCGTTCCCATGATTCCTTGAGTGCAGGCCGGGGCACTTGGGAATACTGCAAATGGTCTATTGCAGGGGCAGTTGGGTGGCCTCCGTGGATCGTTCGTTTTTTGCGGTCTTTCGAGCACCTTCGGCTCTTGAGGTGCTCTTGGGGCTTGCGTGGCAACAGAGACGCCGTTTGGTGTTGGCGACTTGCGGGAGTGGCCGTCGTCTTTATTTATTTGCCACATTTACCGGGCGAAGGGCCATCCCAATCTGTGGCCAACCCTAAAGCGAGCTGCACATTTGTTCGCAGAGTGGGCGCGTGTGTGCGCCTGTCGTCGTGTTAATTGCATAGGAAAAGCTGCGAGGTCTGACCATTGAAATAGTCATTTTTGGGTTTTTTTAATGTGACGTGGAGAAACAGACTCGTAATAATAAATATTTAAATACGAGCAAAGTGTCGGTTGTCCCGTTGCTTTTCCACAAACTTCTTCGGCAACACCTCGCGACAGTGTTTGAGAAATGGGGAAACAGTTTCTGCTCTGCAGTTCCTGTTTACTGGTTTATAGCGTTGCAGACTCGCCTGCTGCTCGAATGCCATTTGGCCGACTGACAATCTGGACGCCCCTTTGGTGCATGGGTGAACCATACTACCGTTCTGGGCGAGTTTCGAACTAAAATGGTTTTTATTTATGGGCAGTTCTTGCTGCGAACTGCAAAACTGACCGATCGGAGGTGAACAGTAACAAATGCAAAAGAGCCTGTCCGTCGACAGGCCCAGCTTAGCATTGCACGCGTTGCATGTACAGGTACGGAAACTATTTTGCCTTGCGTGTAAAATGTTTCATTCTCAAAGCAAAGGAGACTGGCAGCCTTATGTACTGCATGGAATTGTGAGTCTCCATTGGAATATATTAGGGTTGGTTTAGAACTTGAAGGGGCCATAGATTATGCGACCCCTTGTTTAGACTACACTTAACGAGAAAAATTGGGGACTAATTTGTAGGCAATTAAATTTTTCATGAATTTGCTTTACAGCGAGACATGCTGTATCATTCAGTCCAATTATTTCCAAACAGGATACCAAGGTAGGTCTCAGAATGGCAGAAAGGTCTCGCAAAGTTTTTGAGCCTGCGTTGCGCGTGAAAATGTTGCGTTTTGCATGCGGACAAATTGCAGCTTGCAGAAAGGTATGTTTGTGTAGCTTGTAAACTGTACGAAATTCCTCTCTGTCCAGCTTTCCCAACTGAAGAAAAGCTAACAAAATTACTTTTGTAGATGGGTGGAGAGCAATGCAACAAGAGTAAAGCAACGCTACTCAGTCATAAACGTTTTTTTTTTTTTTTTTTTTTTACGACTGTTAAATTTAGAAGAAAAGAAAATGTAACAGCCACCCTGCATTCAACTCCAGTTGGTAGTTGTAGCAGCCATGGGTCCAGAGGCTTGTCCCTTATCTTGCGACTACCGTAAAATACCTGGGGAGCGCCCACTCTGTTTTCACTGAAAATTGGGTCAATCTAGACATGGGCGCCTCGTTTGGTCAAATTGGGTGCTTAACGTATGTATTTGCAGAACTTCCAAGTTTGGAACACGTTAATAGTGAGCGCTTCAACGAAATGGGCGCTTCCGTGGTATTTTGCGGTAGGTTCTGCGTTACCTCATAGGAGTCTTCTGTTCTAAATCCAGAAAGCATGACAGAGTGAACTTTCCACTGCCAACTGATAATCTTGCCGCTTGTGCCCGTGTAATGTCACTGGAGTGTGTCAGTTGAACAGAAGTTGGTAAAAAGGTTAGGAGGAGTGGTAGACTATTCTTATTTGCACAAAGCCTGTGTCGCCGATAACATTTACATTCACATTTTTTCGAGCCTCTCCGAGCACGGAGAAAGGTAGGTATTTTCAGTTTCCGTTTTGTCCCGACAGTCCTCCAAAATAATATTCGGCGCACATTTATTGGTTGTCTTTGGGTAAATACCGGCAATATGACCGTCGACAAACCACCGATGCGTGCAATCCATATAATACAAAGTTCAACACTTAAAAGAATGACGCTTTGCCTGGTACAGTCCACAACACATTCATTGTAAGCATATACACATACACTGTATAAGCCGCGTCGTCTTCCTTCCGCTCAAACAACGGTGTTGTGCCACGTAACGCAGAAGCTGAACAGTGACCGGCAGTGCAGATCAGTTGTGCACCATCCCGGTAACGCAGGCCGATTACAAGCACGAGGGAGAGTTTTGAAGTGGAAGATACATGTATGTTGAGGAGTAAACAATTCTCAAAATAGCTCTCGACATACCTCTTTCCAGGTATCACAGCCGTTCCTTGTAAACCTAAGCGTGAAAGACTGCAGCGAAAGGAAAACCAAAACATTGCGCATCTATCAAGACGAGCTCGGACGCAGATATTGAATGACGCTCAGACTTCACTTGGAAACAAGACTGATTGTTCTACCTTTGAGATTAATTTCGCTGGGAAGACGGTTGAGAGGACTAAGCATGCTGTAAACAAAGTTTCAGCTGAGATTTTCTGTTTTAAAAATAACGGAATGTCCAAGCCAATCTCGTGCGTACAAGGTCACGGAAACCTCACTTTCGGTTTGAGAAAAGGAAACTTAAGATAAGGGAAGTGCGACTAAGTATGTATAAGGGCACTGAGACTCTAACCAGCCTTTTGGGAGAAAAACAAATATAAAAATTCCATCACCACACACAAAACTTGAGCTCGAGGTTCCAAGAGCAACGAAAAAGTGTTTGCCCTTTTTGACAAAGCTCAAAACTAAACAAAGGGTGAAAAGACCTTTCGGTAGAGATTGTCCAAGAATGATGTCAAGTGCACTCACTACATTGACCAAGAACTAAATGCATCAAAATGTGTGTCTATCGCTAAAACGAACACAAAACATGGGACAGGTCCCACGAGTTCAGAAATATGACTAAAACGAGCAAAGACTAAGTGCTCGTACAGAGCAAACAGACCATCTTAATTCCCTTTTACGAGCAGCAAAATTGTAGCATTCTGCAAAACAAAGAAGTAACCTGCACGGGCCTTCTCAAAACTAAGCAAGATTACGGCGTTCCAAAAATAAATGCTCATTCCAAAATGAGAGGCCATCTGCCAGCCATTGTGATCACTACCGCAATAAAAGCAGAATTTGCTTTTCACACATCTACAGTGCAACCCACTTGCAACGATACCACATATAATGATGTACCTTTTTTAACAATCAGTTTATAAGAGTGTCTAGACCAGAAACAATTTCCAGTCCATGTACCACATTAATTGGTTATAACGACTGAATTTTTGGGTTTTCTCATGTCCATATACCACAATAATCCGTTATAACGACTGAATTTTTTGGGTTTTCTCACTATCGTTATAAGTGGATTACACTGTATGAACTGGGAGGAGGAGCGAAGATCTCTGCTTCGATGGTTTGTGGCCCGGGACCCTTTAAAACTGTGACAAAGTGATAAGCAATGAGACACTAAGTAGGCTACCAGGAACAAGACAATCCCTTAACCCTTTTGTAAAAATCGAACAAATGCCGGCACTTGCATTCTGCAGGGGTAAAGAGACTGGAGCCTGCTGGGATTACGAGCGACAATGCAGGTAACAGGTTTTGGGTTTCAACCGACCTACTTTCCATGGCGGAAGGTGATGAAAGGTGTACGGAGAGCAAATAGCAAATTATCTCCTTCCTTTCGCAAAATACTTGTCTACCAGCAAAAGATAGGAGCACACTGACAGCGCAAATTCGCCACTGCGTGGGGTCCTTTGACCATTTCTACGGTCAAACGACCCTTACTTGCATGGCGTTTATCTTGACGCCAGGCGGCTACAGTCGAATCTCGTTAATTCATACTCGAGGGGAACCAAAAATTTGCTTGAATAAAACAAAGTTTAAATTACCGGGAGTTTCCTTCCATAGAGACGCATAGGATGGGACCTGCATGTTAGTTTGAATTATCCGCAAGTTTGAATTAACGACATTCGACTGTATTACGAGGACGGCACAAGAATATGCATTGTCTGCTCGACCCCTTTCGAGGCCACAGTCTCTTCAGCTGCACCCCATTTCGTGACAACACTTATGCGGTCGAGGCAGCAAAGCACACAATCTCCAACGAGAGCGAACGTGAGAAGGCCCGGACCACCCCAATTGCGGCGAGGGAATGGTCCAGACTCCCCGGACTGCCGCCACGAAGATTTCTGGAAAGAACAGAAACGCCGGGCATTTTGTCAGACTGCCATAGGGGAAACAATGAGGGTTGCCAATCCGGGCCACGTTTTACGACTCGGCACAAATCCCGTTTGGACGCCAAAAGCGGACTAAAACGGCGGCCTAGCCGATTAAAGCCGGCGGTTGAGTAATCCCTGAATTCAGATTTTATCCGTGGGATTGTGAACGGACCCCAAAATAGTGCGAAAACGTCGATAGAGCAGCCTCGACCAGAATTCCCAAAACGTGTCATAGAAAGTCTACTGCACTGAGACGAAAGTTTCCAGCAGGGGTTCTCAAACTTTTGACCTTATTCGGCACCAACGGTAGGCCAGGGACCCTCCCTGATGCAATAGAGCAGACCTTGGGAACACACACCAGGCAGCGTTTGGCTCACCACTGTGCCTCAATGAGTAGCGCTTAAACCGGAATAAGGCACGGGGGCAGTCGAGGAAATTCTGGGGTTCTCCAAGCGCCCAGATTTTTTCGACCATCTCCACCCCCATGCAGGGCGTTTTTCTTCTTTAAGCACTCTTTGGTAAGATCTGAGCCACCCACTGAGTCGTAAATAGGAACCAATCACCCCCTAATATGTGGATTATTGTCAACGTTACTAAAACACTCGGTTGGGAAACTTGCCCTTGAAACCAGGGTCGCTGGCGTCCACCGAGACTGAGCTAAATGCGATAACAGCGCCACCATTTAGGAGTCACTGAATGTTCCCAGAGTACCGAAACTCCCAGGCTCGGGGTGCCAAGATAGCGGCTCAATCATTTTCTTTACTGTGCTCACCGGAAGCTTTTAGAAGGCACGTTTTTGCGTAAAAACAAACGGAAAAAGCTTTTCTTGTAGGAACTTTTATTGGTGATTAGTACAAAATGACAGGCGCAATATGTTTTCTACAATCTTTAGTTTACAAGGTTTTGCGGCACAATTAATATTGTTTTTATACAACCAAGTCTCACCGGTGATTTCAGGGAGCGTGACCCGACCTGGGCGCGTCCTAACTTCGGTGGCAATTCGCGGCGTGTCCGCTTGGGAGACGGGGGTTGGCATACCTGAAACCCTTTCCACCATATATGTTTTGGCATCAAAATGGCCATTTAAAGCCAAAATAGAACCGTCACAGCAGATGCTATCGAATGCGATACTCCCTAATTGATACAGCCGTGCCGTTCCTCGACTGATCGATGCGATCGCAGTTAGCTCGGTTCTGCTGTATGGATAGGTGCCACGTTTTCAGAGCAGGCTCTATGGCAGTATCCCAACTGAGATGTTCTAGTAATGTTGATTACTGTTTAGAGGGACTGTAGGATTCCGCACCGCTTTGCCGCATCAATGCCCGAGAGCGAGAGGTTTGAGAACTGTACAGCGATGGACACCTCGAGTGAGAGACCCAGAGGCTCGAGTTCAAAGAAACGAGCGTGCCTTGATCGGGAGTTGTATGAGAAGCAACACGCATGATATACTGCGCTCGTTCCATATACCCATCTGAACAGCCAGTTTCGTTATGCTCCCACTGCCGCTATATGTCGTGGGACCTGTAGTCTTCTTGCACAAGCGAAACGGCTTTTTTCTCCGTAGAGAGAATTTAAGAGTTTTGCCGCATATACAGTAACTTCCCGATGAGATGTAATCAATGAGATGAGGCACAATTTGCTATTCCTTTCAAAAATGCCGAAAGATAGCCCTCTCTTTGTAATTGCAGGGCCATGGCCAATACTACCCTCGGCAGGAATGGCGTTAATCAACCACGGCGGGAGATAAGCGAACATTGCTGACTGGGAACGACAACCGAATTTGGTATTTGTAATCGCGTTTATGGTGATCTTCAATCTTTCTCTGATTTGTCTCAATGTCTGCCCAATTTTTTTTTAATGCTTTTTTAGGATTTGCGGGATTAATATAAAGGAATGTTATACGAGCACGTCGTGCTAACCTGCAGTCTTGAAAAATTTCAGACTGCGTAAAGTCGCCTTGAAGAAGAGGCAGAGCAGACCTCGAAACGTCGGGTCTTTAATTGGGGCTTGCTTGGACGTCCTCCCCTTTAGTTACCGTAATATCCCTAATCATCACCCACCCCCCTGCCGTCTGAAATTCATAAAAAGAAAGTGGGTTGGCCATGTCTTGGTGGGTAAGTGCAAAAAGTTTAGAAAAACCTAAAAAAAAAGACCATTTTTCTGTACATATCTAATGCAACTGCATGGGAGATATATTAAACTTAAAACTCAAATTAGTTTCATTGTTTGATGCAAGAAATGCCGATGAAAGAAGACTTTTACTATCGCAAAATTTGTTGCTTGCATTAGCACAATGGACACCGCCGATCGGCATATAACGCGAACATCTGTTTTGCGAAAGTAAGTTTCTAGAATCGCTACACTCTCTTCGTTAGTAGGAGAAAAAAAAGAAGTCAACAAGAAACTAGTAAAACCACCCAGGTACAATGGACGAGTGAGCGGGCGAAAGAGGCGACCGAGAGCAATGCTAGGGAAGTGGAAAAGTCGGCGAATGCATTGGGAAATACTTGAGCGTCGGGCCAAGTTGGGCGCTTTGTCAATCGCAGGAAGTAGGTTCTTGCGCAACATTCTTGTTGCGCAAGAGCCTCATCGTTGCGCAAGAGCAACATCCGTCCGCGGCATGCTTTCAATGCAGGTTGAGGTGCCGTTTTTGCGTGATGTGGAAAACACCACAAACACAAGCTCAAATTGGCACGCTTCACGAACGTTTGTGAGCGGCGCTCCAGTGAGTTGGCTTTCTCTCAAACATTGCACAACCTTACCAACTGCATTTGCAACGTTCCTGTAGAAACGGGTTTGCGGTGACCTTATATCAGTGGAGACGGACTTTCACCTTACACTCTGCGGTTACATTCCAGGATATGGGGAATTCACTGACCTCGCAATCGCTGAATGGGTTACTGCTTGTTCTATCTTTCAGACTTTTTTCTTTTGGTTCGAACAAACCTTTTTGCGAGAAAAACAAACTTTTATTTTGTTATTTCTATCGTTTCCCTTTTGCACGCACATACTCCAACCTCAGGGTCGTGGAAATCAGGGAGTAAATGCGCAGACAAAGTGAAGTGCCTTTCCCTCCTTCGTTTTACTTTGCCACAGACGTCCTCCAACCGTAAGGTCCGCGGCCGCTTTATTTGGGGCGGGGTGAATGATCGCCGATCGCGGTGTCTGCATTGGGGTATTTGTAGGGGTGGACGATGACTCAGGATATTACGGTAGTTTTAAGGCCCGTTCACACTCTTGCAACCGAGTACGACCGAGAGAGACCAGACCGGTTTTTAAGCCTCTTGCGATCTCTTAGGACCAGCTCCGCTGCAGGGCATCCGGTCCTACGAAGTCGCAAAAGGCTTGAAAACCGGTCTGGTCTCTCTCGGTCGCAAGAGTGTGAACAGCGCTTTACACCAACCAGACAGACATCAGTCAAATGTTTAGCTTCAGAAGATAGTATACTGTCTAAACCGGTTATAACGAAATCAACGGGATTCGGAAATCAATTCACTATATCCGCTATTTCGTTATAACCGACTTCGGTTATAACGAAGTGCAAAGGGAATGGGAAATCGTGATCGGTTCGCTACAGCCGCTATTTCATTATAACCGACTTCGTTCTAACCGGGCTCGAGAGTAGTAACTCTGTTTAGTGTATATTGGTTGTCATGTTTTTGCTAAAAGGTTACGTAATGTTATTATGGACTACATGTCCTCACACAGAAGTGCGAAAGTTTTTTTGAGAGACAGATTGCACCCCTGCAATAAACATATTATTAAAACTGCCGCAGTCCGCGTGAGCAGAGCACGAGACGGCACGAGCTGTCTCGTAAACTACAGTTATGCCAGCATTGTGCATGCATGGAACTCTTTGCAAGATTGCTCTATTGTTCTTCCACTGTCAACAAAGTGGGAAGATGTGTGTTCCACCACAATTTAGCTAACGAGGTTCTACGCAAATTATTGTTTCCCAACTCCATTGACATCCACAAGTTCCTCCCTATTTATCTCTCGAAAAAATTTTGTAGAGGCTCCACTGCATTTGCTTTTTCACTTTCCCAAAATCTGCAGTGGTCTGGAGAAGTGTTATCAGACATCGGAAAAAATCGAGCTCGAATGCCCCAAAATATAGCCGTGTGCCCCACTCGACATGCTGCAACTGTAGTTCCAGAAAGAAAACTCACCCGACCGCTTATTCAACACGTTCGTATTTCGCCTTGTTGATGTTCGAAGCGAGGCAGAAAGACAGAACCACTCCGAAGAGCTGCAAAAAATGGGAACGGTGGGAACTGAGGTAAGACTCAGGAAAGTGCTAGTACCGAGCAGACGCGAAACTGTCGCACGTGCCTCGACCAATATTGCGGGCCCAATGTTGTACTTCGCACGTTCATTCCAACAATATGACGCTCCCAGAATGTCAAATGGGTCATTCCACACCAAACGATCCAGCCCCTAAATCGACCATCACGGATTTGGTTTTAAAAAATTGTAGGCACTGAAATCGACGTAAAAGTAATCTTCCCAATATATTTTTGCAGTAAAATATTTTTTGCTCCTTTGACGACCCCTTGGTTACCTCGAAAAACTGGCTTCAAGGGCTATATACGGCTTTTTTTTTTCCTGGCAGTTTTGAAAGTAGGCTGTAAAATAACACTGTTTTTAGTAACTAAATAGGTCCCTCTAAATGCCCAAATAGTTACTTGCATGTAATTTCAACATTTTCTGGCAATTTCGTGGCAGTAACAATAGCCTAAAATGCCGATATTCACGTTTTTTTCCTCGTAAAAGGGCAAAAGTATCAGGCATAAATTTCACTTGTTTTCATAGCACTTAGATTGAAGTTCATTATAAAAATATTTTTCGTATAATATTTGTTGCGGTGTTTCGACCAAAAAATCGCCAATCTTGAAAATAGCGCAAAAAGAGCAACTTTCACTTAAGAATAATGGTGTGAGGTGGTCGGTCTAAAAATATATTGACAACGGCAATGCATCATTTAGAACCCAGACATCAAACAAGCAATGTTAGAAAAAAGTGTTATTTCTTAAACGCGAAAAAATAATTTTTGAAATCCGGGCCAACTCAGCTCGTCGGCCCCAAGGCGGGCACTCAAGCTGATGATGGGTAGGGAGTCTTCCGAATACTTGCTCTATCTAGCCTTCTCAGACGCAGTCAATTTGAGGACGTGACGCCGTCGTGACGTTCACTGTTCTGAAAGAGAAGTGAAGCCGACGTTCATTTCGGTCAATGAGGTTAGCTCGAAGTAATGGAGTCTAGGGATGCCGCGAACTTTTTTCGAATCGAAGTTTCGATGATCGAATCAAGCGGTTCGAAAGGTTCGAAAGATTTCGATTTTTTGAATTGTCTATATCGTAAAATTCGACGGAGGTCGAATTTTCGAACTTGTTAAGCTAAGAAGTTCGACGCTTTTCGAACCGTCGAACTTATTACGCTAAAAAATTCGATATTTTTCGAACTTTCGAATTTATTGCGCTGCAAGGTTCGATGCTTGTCGAACTTTCGAACTTGACTGACCAAAAAATTCGATAAATTTCGAACTTTCGAACTTATTTATCAAAAAAATTCGAAAAGTTTTGAACTTTCGAATTCTGAAAAGTCAGAAGTTCGACGAACTTCGAACTTATAGGGTAAAAGTTCGACGTTCGTCGAACTTCGAAAGACCGGCGGACGGTTTCATTCGATTTCAAGTAGTGGGGTACATTCGTAATTTTTTTTCTCGAACTTTTACACGCGGTGCTGCGTTCCTTACGAAAGACAATGTCATTTATTTCAATGTTCTGGCATGCTTAGGTTTAAAGAAATAAATCCCCGAAGGGGCGAGGACGGACGACGGGTTTTTGACGATTATCATTTGTGCCAGATTTGAAGCACGCTGCAGCCGGAGCTATTTATGGTAGATATGTTATACTTTTTTTTTTTAAGAATGATCTATGTATAGCGTAGGTAAGTGCCGTCTTAAGATGTGATTATTGTTATTCAACGTGAGTTTCGAAGAAATGTCCAAACATGTATCTGCATGCAATTATGACCTAAACTTGATATTTATTTTCGTCTAAGTTGTTTGAGGTATCGCATTTAAATTAACACCACAGACAGTACGTATCATTGCCATCTGCAGAATACAAAATAATATATTTATTGTTTTTTCACATTAAGGAATAAATTAACTCATGGCAGAAGATTTCTAGTAGTGTTCAAGTTCAGCACGTCATTAAAAGAAAACTTTTTTTTTTTTTCGCTTCACGTTCCTGGGACGTGTTTCTTTTAGCCTGTACACATTTTGGTAAAAGAGACTTGTTTCGAAGTTCTGAACCTCTGAATATGCAAGAATAGAACACTTCCGACGAATTCTTGATAGTTTTTTTTTTCTCCTGCTTTTTATTCCCGCATTTATTCTCTTTTTTTTTTTTTTTTTTCTTTTGTTACTATCGGCACAGGTGTTTAGGTCGAAAAGACAGCTTTGAACTTCCGAACCACTAAGCATCTGACGAGCAGTGCCTTCTGACAACGAGTTTCTAACAATGACCATCTACGCAACCTTTTATGCAGTGAAGAGCTACAGTAGCTATACATATGCATAAATAATTTCAGATTAAAATAAGCTCGACCACGCCCTCTTTCCCCGTATTGTTTGCTTTAACAGTCCGAAATACCTGCAAGAAGAAGAAAGAGGCTGAAGCCCCCCCCCCCCGCTACCCTCTTTCCCCCCGTTTTTCCTCTTCCGACGCCACTTGTATGGTAGAACGCTCCTCAACCTCGAGTTGTGTCGGCTTTTGTGCTTTTTGCGAGGCGATTCCTCCGTCCCAGAAAATAAACCTCCAGTACAATTATAAACTTCACCGGATCGGATTACTACCAGCGTGCAAGGGGTGGCGAGCTAGTTTGCCAGGTCGCTTCAAGGTTTCTCTGAGCCTCAACCTCCTGCTCGCCCCTGGCCGTTTCGAACTGGATGAGTCTCGTAAAACAGTGTGTTCGTGCAATCACTACTGCGTGATAAAGACCCCCGCCCCCCCGCCCCGCCCCCGCCCCCCCCCCCCCCCCCCCCCCCCGGGGGCTGGCGGTCACAATTCTGCACTGGCAAATATTCTAGCACGTCCGGGACACTCGTCTCATTTAATTGCCTTACCAACTTCGCAGAATCTAGATATCACACCCTAACTTTTCTAAACTTGATTTTGTGAAAACAAGTGAGTCGTGAAAACGTTATTTGAAACTGAAACTGTAGAAAAACTTGAAAATCGGACTTCAAACTTTAAAAACTTGGATTAAAAAAAAATTCAAAATCTTCAAAGTTTTTTTTTTTTTTTTGAATTTAGCGTTAAAAGAGAATCGAAACTTTCGAACTTTTCGAACTTTATGCCAAAAGAAATTCGAAATCTTCGAATTGTTCGAACTTCATGTCTATAAAAATTCGAAGCGTTCGAAGTTTTCGAATTTTTTTTTACAAAGAATTTCGAAATCTTCGAATTTATCGAACCTGAAGTAAAACAATATTCGAAATATTCGAATTCGAAATTTTAGAAACCGTGAAAGCTTCGAAATTTTCGAATTCGAAACTCCGCTGTGGACAAAAGTTGCGAATTTTTCGAAATCGCATTTCGGTCGGTACGAAAATATCGAAATTTTTCGAAATCGAACCTCAGTTCGCTTCGCAAATATCGAAACCTTTCGAAATCGAACCTAGGGTGGTTCGCGACATCCCTAATGGAGTCCTCTAGTCCCGCGGATAGGTAGAGCGGCATTGAACCGGGATAATAACGTCTCTCGCCGCACCTGAACATCACTTTCCGGCACCCAGATCGCTCGAATTTGTGTCAGGTTGTCGCGTGCCCAGTTGAAGAGATTTAGTGATGTTAAAATTTGTCCGCTGAATGGTCTTTGTAGGCTTGACTTTGCAGCCAGTCTTTTCACAGTTCCGCCCACTCCATCGCAGGCACTTTTTCCATGCGATGTAGCAAAAAAGTTCCATGTTGCACTGAGGTTGTAGTCTTCCACGTGATGACAGAGGATTACAAAGTTCTTTTTGTTTTTGTATTGAGACGCCGCACCATCTGAGAAGTAATGAATGTGTTCTACGTGAGGCAGTTGGGCTTTCAAGTCATCCAGGAACATTTTCTGGAAAGTCGACACTGTTGCAGTGGTATGGTCCAAACAGTCTGATATCATTGCGTATGATATGACGTGGAGCTCGTCTTGACGATCTGGTGGACGAAAATATACGACGACGGGATGAACTGTAGCTTGGGTATTGTCCCAATGATATGATTGTGGAGCGTCCTGAACAAGAAAGCTGTAGTTTTCAGCAAAATCTAGCAGCACAATTGCTTCTGTTGGCGTAAGACGCATTTTTAAGTCGCGTAGATGACGCGCCTGAACCTTGCTCATGAAGTGATGCGTCTTTAGTTCTTTCAGCATCTCTAGCAACCGCTCAGACAATTCTTCTGGCGTGATAACTATCGTTTGGAGTTTGCACCGTGCTCCACTGACCCATTGACACACGGTAACGTTGCTCACTAAGTCAGGGTCAAGGGCTGCGGAGTTCATAAGCAAAGCTGCGACGTGCGTAGTGCCTGGGCATTGCTTACACCTGCCAAGCATGCAGTCTTCATTGTTTAAGTCACACACTGTCATTCCTACCAAAGAATCAACTGTGTGTTCCAGACCTGATGAGTGAAGAAGAAACTTCAGGTTCTGGTGATAAAGGCAAACGCAGACTGAGTGCGTTCCTGAAGCTCCAGCAAGCGGACAGTGCTTGGGCCGTAGAGCAGCGAACTTTGAGAATCCGCATTTCACTCCGTTGTTGCACTTCTTCCATTCCTCATATGCTTCCTTCAGGTTTATTAAAAGCAATCTTTTTTGGCTCCCACGAACGACGTCTTTTTTGCCTGGAAGGCAGATGGAAACAAGTTCGTCTTCATAAAAGTTTCTGACAGAGCTTTTAGTGGATTCGTCTAGTGGTCTGTTCACCCTTTTGGTTGAGCAACTCAAGATGCCCTTCTCTTTTTTCATTGACATGGCAAGGCAAACCTGTCTTTCAGAGGCACCAAAATACTGCACGATCCGGTTTCGCGACCACGAGCTCGGGGCCAGGGTCAAAAGCGAAATCTTATTTGATCGGTCTTTTTCTTCGCCAAAGCGCTTCTTGACTTCTTCCATGAGCCGTCTGTAGTCGTCTGTCCGGAACTCATAACTAGGTCTTGGTCTAGATGTCGACGAGACGTTAACGTCCGCAGTGTTGGTCAGGTTACAGACATTCCGGCTTCGACTGTCCAGCGTCGTTTGCATATCCATATTTGTTTGTCTGCACTTCTGCCCCGTGGACAGGGGAATTTCCCCAACTGCTGAAAATTTGAGACTCAACGATGAGGGAAATGCTTCTTCCTGGTCGCTAATTTCAGAGGAGGTCATCTGTTCAGTAAGCGTGTCAGTAGTCTGCTTGAACCTCACGCCCATTTGGAAGCAGCGAACTTTGCACCCGGGGCACAACCTTTCTCCAGGAACAAGCTTCAATGACGGTAGAGCTATCGCAAGCTCTAGTGATATAACTGATGTCCCACGCCGGCTGCTGGTGTGTTCAAGGAATGGGTCCATACAGAACTTGGAAGCCAGAAGTGTGGTATACTTCTTTACGTAAGTATGATAATGATGAGCGCATATTGTGTTGAGCGCGTCTTCGTCTTTATTTGCACGCAGAGCCAAAAGGCGTTCTTTTTCTGTCACAGTTGAAATTCTAACGAGAAACTTCCTGTTGACTTGCGCCGTTTTATGGCACCCTTTTGGCCCCAATGAACATGGCACAAGATGGTCTTCTGAAAAAAGATGCATTGTTTGCTTAGTGCACCCAAATAGCTGAATTTCACCTGCTTTTTTTGGAATTACTGTAACAAGTACGAGGATAAAACCTCGCTTTTAGAACGTTTAAAAGCAATAACTAGTAAAAATATTGCCTAAAACCCACCTTCAGATTCCCTGGCATGATCCGTGGAAGCCCGACTACCGGCGTTATTAGGTTCCATGGAAAAGGTTTGTTCAATTTACACCCATTACATGTGAACGCACGCCGCTGGGCGATTAGCAGACGATGTCAAAACCACTTTTTAAACTCTGCTGTCTGCTTTGTGCGCCTATTTAGCGAACCCGTCTGCTCTGCGCGCTCGCTTAGCGAACCCGTCTGCTTTGCGCGCTCGCATAGCGAACCCGTCTGCTCTGTTGCCCGGTGGCGTCGCCGCTGCAGTACGCCGCTGTTCGACGTCTCTGGACAGGCACGCGACCGGTGCGGCGACCGACATTGAAAAATTATTTTTTCGCGTTTAAGAAATAACACTTTTTTCTAACATTGCTTATTTGATGTCTGGGTTCTAAATGACGCATTGCCGTTGACAATATATTTTTAGACCGACCACCTCACACCGTTATTCTTAAGTGAAAGTTGCTCTTTTTGCGCTATTTTCAAGATTGGCGATTTTTTGGTCGAAACACCGCAACAAATATTATACGAAAAATATTTTTATAATGAACTTCAATCTAAGTGCTATGAATACAAGTGAAATTTATGCCTGATACTTTTGCCCTTTTACGAGGAAAAAAATGTGAATATCGGCATTTTAGGCTATTGTTACTGCCCCGGAATTACAAGAAAAGGTTGAAATTACATGCAAGTAACTATTTGGGCATTTAGAGGGACCTATTTAGTTACTAAAAACAGCGTTATTTTACAACCTACTTTCAGAACTGCCAGGAAAAAAAATGCCGTATATAGCCCTTGAAGCCAGTTTTTCGGGGTAATCAAGGGGTCGTCAAAGGAGCAAAAAATATTTTACTGCAAAAATATACTGGGAATATTACTTTTACATCGATTTAAGTGCCTACGATTTTTTAAAACCAAATCTGTGATGGTCGATTTAGGGGCTGGATCGTTTGGTGTGGAATGACCCAAATGTAACCTGCAACCTCGATTATATTGAACCGTCGTAGGTCCTGTGCAATAAGCAAACGTTGAGGATAGTGGCCTGTCTGGCACTGGTCAGCGGCAAACAATACAGGAGCCTGCGAGCTTGCGCTCTGTATTCCAAAGTCGCCTGCTAGCTCAGGCTATGGAATGACGTCATCTGCCGCCGAGCTGTGGTTTAAACAATAGGGAGCCCTATGGTTTGAAAACCGGTGGCTTCGCTGCATTTCCATAGGATTTAAGCCTTTTTCTTTTTTTAATTTTTTCTCAAATAGATTTGCTCTTTGCAAATTTTACAAAAAAAATGCACCATCCGTGGGCAACGCTGCACAAAACCGTAGCACGATAGGTTAAGAAATTGAATTTTGCGGTCGATTTAAAGAGCCTGGCTGCTCCCTGGGACATCCGGTATAGTTGGCGGAAGATTGAGGCAGAATATTCTAGGCTCCCTGGGAAGGCTTCAAAAAAGCTGTGCCGTACAAGTCGGTCTTCCGCCTGCGCTTGGTGCTGCCATCAGGCCACCATCAATGCCCTATATCGTCCACTCAATCTTTATTTTGTTTAGGCATAGGTTCGCCCTATTAAACGTTTAGTTTGCTTCAGTGTTTCACCGCCTCATCAATCGTCATTCGTGGCAATATCAACTCGCCGGTTTAGTTACCTTTACGTACGTTCCATCTCCGCGACAACATAGTGGAGGGAAAAAATTAAAAATCAATTAGCTCAATCAATTAACTTGGCAGTAACCTTAATGAGTTCAAGTGAATTGTTCCTAAGGCTCGTATATTGTTCACATGCCGATTTTTGTCATTATGAAGTCCTACATATAAATTTTAATCAACGTTAATATTCAAATGACAAAAGCCTCATTTTTACTCCAAGTAATAATTGCAGTTTTATTACAACCTTCAGAGCTTCAAAGAAACATCAACTTGGGTGCTCAATATCATTCTCTTCTAAGATGAGTTCCGTGGAATATACTATTTGGTTTACCTTTGGCTGCGTAGCTAAAACAACTATCTGCAGCAGTTCCTACTGTCCTTCATTGTTCGGCATATTGTTGTCGTGCCCGGCACTCGTACGCGCAACAGCTAGTTCCGTGTTTGAGGGAATCAAACCTGTCGTGCAATTGATGCTAATAAAAAGTTGCGCGGAAGTGGGAAGGCAAATTAGACAATGTCTTCCGATAGAGAGGCCAACGCATTAATCTTTACGTAGAATATTTAAAATTATACAGATAGTAATGAATCGTAAACATGTACTCCAAAATGGATTTTCGGCTGCTCTAAAAGGTTCTCCAAAATAACTCGGACTGATAGCATCGCTGCGAGCTTTACATGCCGTTGCAGGAAACACTTTTTCCGTCCTCAAAAATGTTAAAACAGTCCGCGAAGAAGCAAAATGATTATGCCGAACACCATAGCGGAAGTTAAGCAAGCTGCGTTTTCTAATTGTAACGACGGCCAATCGCATCCCCTCCGCTTCGAGTACCGAAAGGGCGTAATGGAGCGAAACACTAAGAGGCCGACATACACTTTGCGCTTTCCATTTTTTTCTCTCGCTTCCTCCATTCTTATATTCTTTCCAACGTTCATGTTGCCCGAACCTCTCTCCGCTCGCAGTTTAAGAGAGGGGGACGCCAAGAGGATTGTTTTTCCTGCAGAAAACGGAAGTCGTATGTCGGCCTCTGAGCGTAGCCTATTTGGCGGCTCTAGTGTCGATGGTCGTCCTCAAGTGGCAACAAACGACATCGCTAAAGCAGTCGCGTGGTGGGATGTTTTGGAAAAAAAAGGTGTGAGAAAATACGAGATCTTCCGCGGCACGTCGAGCTGCAGAGCCAACTGCAGCGGAACAAACATCTGCCCCGCAGCGGCTGCGACACCAGCAGAATCGTGGCAGGACGTAACACCCGTGTGACATAGTCGGACAGAAGGACCAGTTTTGAGGACTTGGTGGACGTCACCGGAAGGCGTTGCAGGCAGCATAGCGAGAGTGCTCCAGTGTTGCCCATTGGCTTCCACGGAGGAGCTCACCTGGAAGAAGGCAAAGCCCACGGCTCCTCCCGCAATGGCGCTCAGGTTGGTGTCCAGGAACCGCATCACCTTGCTGTAGCAGCCCTGCGTCGCAAATTAAATCGTGATGCCATTTTGGTTTTGCAGTTTAAGTAGGGTTCGAGTCGGGCAGAGTACAGTTATCATCTTGAGCCATGGCAACGCAATCTTGTCTCACAGCTCGCGAGCGAACCTCCCAAAACAAAATTATGAAATATTGCGCGACCCTCGCTTTTCCGGGCAGATACCTCGAATTAAGGAAATTGTCTTTTCTTGCCCAAGATAATATAACGTACCATACTTACTTAAACACAGGTCAACCTTTGTTCTAGAGAGGTTGACGAGAATAAATTATATACCGAGTCGGGCATTTACGCGAGTGAAGGACAAGTAAATGTCTATACACATTTATTTTGCGGCATCCCTCGATCACCTTACTCAAAACTCGCTCGTCGATCGTGCTAGCTGCGTATCCAAACTTCTAAACCAGTCCATAAAGCGTCTCCCTCAGCATAGCCCTCGCTCCCCGCAGCTCGTGTCCAACTTCACCGCTAGACCGGCACGCTAGAAGATGCTGGCACCTCGGGTCTCCACTACCTTGAGAAGCTCGCAAATTGCACTCCCCATAGAAGGTTGACCTTCTTTGTTCACATGGAAGTCACTCGACCCCTAGATTTAAAGAGCAGTGTTGGGTGAGGCTATGAACGAGCGTGCAATAGATACTTTCAAGAGAAAATCCACGAAACCAGATAAAGTTGCCCGTCCTATTAAGACAAAAGGATCACCAAAAGGATCATCAAAAGCCACGAAAAAACTATCAACATAAAATTTTTTCGAGGTTCCGCTTCTTTTTTGGCGAAGGAATTCCGAGGTCATTCGTAAGCCCATTCACATTCCTTTAAAACTGGTAGCAAAATTTCCTTCCGTACCAATCCCTTTCACTCTGATGTGCGCCAGGAGGAATGAACCCTCCTCTAGATAATGAGCGCCGCTACGGCCGATCTGAACCTCCGCTGTGCCTGCAGTCCTTGAAAGTTTCCTTCTCTCTCGTTCTGCCAAGTTCTAGCCTTAGCCTGGACCAGAGTTCCTTTAAACACTGCGGGATGTGCCAAAGGAGCGTGGCAGGCCTTCCGCATTTGTAGTGTCCGCAACGGTGCAACCAACTAGTCAAAACCACCACTATGAAAGGCACTGAAGATCTAAAGATATGATTTTAATATATTATACGAGCCAGCATTAATAAACAAACTGGCTTCACTTGGTCACATGCAGGACTGCATGTTTAAAATTAACAAAATTACTCCTTCATTTTGTTGTAGTATCCAGTGAAATACCGCTTGAGCAAATTTCAGAGGACCTCCATCAAATGTTTGTCTCAGGGCTGCCCAAATAGGACAGAGCATGCTGTACTTTCAAGGCTTCCACGGCATGTGCCACAAGAGCCGCTGCGTGCACGTCCGTCTCCAGTTTGGACGTGAACCGCAGAAACAGCGCAGCTTTCCCTCATTGCTCTTCCCCTTTCTTGTTTCCAGGACGCTGCGATCGATAACAATGACGGACACCTCGATGACAGCCAGCAGAGTGTGCGAGTGGCTGTCCGGACCCACATGATGGGTCCGGACAGCCACTCCAAGGATACAAGCAAAAAAAACTTTCCCTCCGGCAAAAAAAAAAAAAAAAAAAAATTAACGAAAGCGGATTGGAGTGTAGTATATGTTGTGAATTTAGAAAATACTCAATCTGCTTAGAGGAAACACACCATCTACCAAGTCCTGTTTGACAGTCTCTCAAGTGAAAGTTCACTCAACCGAATCCACTGGAGACAACGGGGTCTCGCTGGGGAATTTTACGAAAGTTTATTCATTCGAATAGTTTGTTCAACTGGAGTTTTTATTCGGTGGTAACTCACCGCAATAGTCAATTGATATCTCGTTAATTTTGAAACAGCTATAAAATGTACAATGCATTAAAATTTCTTTATAGGATAATCATGGAAGTGTTAGTACACTAGAACAAACTTACTAATGTTCATCGCGTAACGTGCTGGTGCTTTCTCGCCACCGTTACATTGCCTCGCAACGGCTCCTTGGCCTCGTCGAGCTGTTTTCAACTTGCTTTACTGTGGAAACCGCAACATTACGCATGCCGTAAATGAACTCTGAACTCCGACTAAACAGTCCCCGAAACTGAGGAATCCATCGAACCGAAGGACGCAGGGCGGACCGTCTCTCACCTCGGCTCGCAGCGTGAGGTTCTCGGCGGTGCAGGCCACGTTGGGGGCGGAGCAGCAGCTCTTGGGGAAGTGTTGGCTGCCCTTGTAGTACCCGGTGGCCAGCCAGTCCTCAGCACTCATTAAGCCGCAGCAGCCCAGCTGGGGGAAACCGAACGTGACGCCATGGCCTTTCACTGGCGTGCTAGTGCCACGTACGGCCCGTGCACCCAAACTGGTCCTCAAGTGGCAACTAACAAAATAACCTCATTGCGGAAAACATTTTCTATACTCCATTTCGTTCCGAGTCCGACGCCGCAATCCGACAGCCTGTCGAGCCGCTCCGAAAGTGCGTCGTCGCGGCACTCCTTGTCTCTGCGCGTTTGCTACGGCCAACGAAACCCATAGCGTGCAGTAAATGCGCCTCCGTTGCGTGCTCTTTTCTGCACGCAACTGGTCTGGCTGGCGATCGCAAACCCACGTAGGTGACAAGCACCGCGACGATACACTTTTGGCGCCGCTCCGTCGGATCATAGCTTTCGATGCGGTCGGAGCTGACGCCAAACGAGGTATAGCATGCGGAAGACCCGGTCAAGTAGTCTCATGCTCCCCTCCGAGCCAAGATTCTCCTTGCTTCTTTTTTGCAGCAACGTCAAGGGCAAAGACTTTTTAGAGCGCAGCTCTTAGGCGCTGTTTCCGGCTTGAGCAGCGTCAGCGTCGCCGCCACTGTAATTGCGCGGTGCACTATAGAAAATGTCCCATAATGCACCGTGCGGGACCCTCGTGACGTCACGAGGGTACCACGCGGTGCGTTACGGGACATTTCCCATGATGCACTGTGCGGGGAGGAGGACGAGGGGGAGGATGAGGAGGAGGATGTAGGGGGATGGGGAGGAGGAGGGGAAGAGGAGAGAGGATAAGGAGGAGAAAGAAGGAGAGGAGGAGGAGGAGGAGAAGGCAAGCACAGAAGGAGTAGATGAGGAGGGAGGAGGAGAGGGTATAGATGAGGAGGAGGGGCATACCGTCTCCCCTCCATACCCTCCCCTCCTCCTCAAGAGCTGCGCTGTAATTCGGCATTACAGGAAGTTGTAAACGTCTTTAATTTTTTTCTTCTTTTTAATACCTATAGAGGGTGCAAGCTGCGCGTATTCAAGCGCCGAATGACGTTTGTAAATTATGTTCTACGATGATTACAAACACACTACACCCCCGACATCAAAACGGCCTGGAAGCGTTAATAATGAGACGTCGACCATCTCCCGGTTTTTTAAGGTGGGACCGCATTCTACCGAAGCTAGCCAAGATTTTTTTGTGCTTGGACCATGTTCTCAAAGGGAGAGCGGAGGCGGCACCAAACACGCACTTTGTCCGCAAACTACTTGGCGCGCATTGTGCGTCGGCACGTTATCGGCCGTCCCACACAACGCTCCTCGGCCTCAGTTAGTGCGGTTAATCATTCTCCGCATCGTCACAAAAAAAAGAAATAGAGGCGAAAGAGAATGGCTCGGCGGTCTTTTCGAAAAGACACGATAATTTTGAGCACGACGGTTTCATTAATGTAGGGTGTCTCAAGTCACCAGGATCGATCTGAAATGGACCGTAAAAATCGGCACCCGCACGAAGCAATCTAAACTTTCCGTCAAAGATATATTTCACAATTCAGTTTTTTCTCGTAAAATTACAAAGCGTAGCTCCCTTTCTGTAAAAAATAGGGCCAAGAAACTTGCCCTGGTCAACGGAGGACGGTGACGCAAATGACCGAGTTGAGTTGCGGGGCGCGTTTGGCATGCATACTGATAGTGGCGTCGGGAGCATTGTCCGAAGGCATAGTCGACCAGCGGAAGAAAGCAGATGACAAAAACACGAAATCCGTTAGCAGCAAAAGCGCCGTCATTATGCAAACACATTTTTTTTTTACTTTTAAGTTTTGCTCTTGTTGTCCGCATTAACTTTTAAGCCAAAGGTACTTTAAAAAAAGATTATGTTCCTTTTAATAAACCACGGTGGTTTGCGCCCAGTCAAAGAGCAACACTTTGTAATTTTACAACAAAAACCGACCCGTGAAATACACCTTTGACGAAAAGTTCAGAATGCTACGTGAAGGCTTCCATTTTTTACGGTCCATTTTAGATCGAGCCTCGCGACTTGGGGCACCCTATAAATTCAAAATGCAGCCGCAAATTTTTTCTTCCTCGTCTCCACAAGGCGGCGCCTGACGGCCGTTCCGAAGGCATCGACAGGAAGAGGGAAGTCGGCGACGGCTCAGATAAGTAGTTTTTTTCCCGACTTTCCGCCGTCCGAGGGTCCCACCGTTGCAATAAGTGCGCCGACTGTCCTAGTCCGTTCTCGGTGCCTCAAATTTCCACTGGGTCGGCGCCGTCGGGAGTTCTACCTCTCCCACAACCACTGAGGCGCTCTTTTGAGGCGATGCATACGTTGTTCTGGACGAAGTCGACGGTCTCGTCAGACATGCCCCCCGCGCCGTAGTGAACCATGGAGGAGTTCATGCCGCGGCCGATGCCCTCCTTCACCTGCCGGATGTACACGTAGCCCACGATGCCCGCCGTCAGCTCGGCCAGGAACACCAGGATCAGCACCCCGCCGAACTGCGCAGACGGCCACCGTCAGAGAGCACAGGACTGTTTGGTCTGGTGCTTGCCGTCAAACCGAGTGACGGCAGCTGCCCTCGCCGTGTCGCTATGCGTTTAATCCGACATCCTTAAATTTACCCCTCCCTTCATCTATCTTCTTTTCTTTCTCTTCTGTACGTACGTCCGTATCCACGTATTAGTTATCTGCGAAGCATCACGAGCCTACAATTACAGGTTCTCGGCCTTCTGTGGTTCCCTGACTCTCCGGAGTTCAATGAAGAATACATGCCCCGACTCTTTGGAGTTAAATAAGGAATGCAAATACTGTAACCAACATTATTTCTGCACGCTCCACATTACGCAAATTTCGGTAAGTGTTGGTTTTAGGAATATGTCGTGACTGGGGGTGGATCTATCTGCTACCAAGGGGTGACATATACTGCGTGACACTGCTGGTGCAAACGCGATGGTGCCGCTTTATTTTTTTCATTTTACTCGAACAAAAGAACGACAGGTACTAAACTTACCTACCCCAAATGAGAACCTCCTGTCACATAAATACATTTTAGGAGAATGTTCTAATTTTAACGAAAGAGAAAAAAGAAATGGAGATGGCTCGTTTGCGTAATAAAATTTTCGCAGCAGTTTTAGCCGTAAAACTCGCCGAAAATTCGGTCCTCAAAAAACTGTCATTTGAAGTATGTTACAGTTTGGTGCAGCTTTAAGACTTCGAAGCTCGGCAAAAATTATTTTCTTATATTAGCAGCTTAGTATTAGTATTATGAGGTGTGTCATATTTATTTTTGTTCAACATTAACCGAAAAAAACTAAAAAAAGACACTCGCATGATTACCACCATGCTTGCATTGATTTTGAAATTAGATTATAGTCAAATTGGATCTGTTCTTAAGTGAGATATACTTAGAAATAGCTCTAGCCTAAGTAATGGTACACACATGTACAAATACTCAAAAATACAGAAAAACAAAGAAAAACTGTACTGTTAAAAGCACACTCGTGCCATAAAATCTACCACGGCGCCGAACACACTGAAATCATTCTCAATTCATTTCACAAGACGAGGACGTTTTAGCATTATGATGGTTTGCACGAGGGAAAAGAAAAAGACAGCAGAGAAACAAGCCTACTAGTACAGCCTAGTATTCTGCTATGTGCAGTTTTGTACAAAAATAGAGAGCAGTGTTGAGTCATTTTGGAGCCCCTTTTAAAGCAGACAAAAGTCCATTTTGGTGCAGTAAAAGAAATCCTTGGAGCAGAACATTTAGCATCGACTGCACAGCAGGTTCGATTCTCTCAAACATGGAACTAGCTTTTTAGATGCACATAGAAACAATCCAAACAGCAACAAGATACTGTTGAATGAACAACACTAGGAGCTGCTGTGAATGCTGTCTTTGGATACAAAATCAAAGGCAAATCAAACGCTTAACTAAAATAATGAAAGAAAAGGATAATTTTGAGCACCGAAATTGATGTTCCGTTACAGTTTTAAAGGGACACTGACACCCTCCCAAAAAAATATTTTATTTTTTGCTAGGCAATTTAAAGGGCCCATGAAACGAATTCTGGGCTGGGATAAAACAATTTAGATTGGGATTTTACTAGTAGCGCATCGTTTAGTGGGCCGAAAGAAAAAAAGGTAGAAAGTCAAAAGCCTGACTTTCGGTGCGAAAATTTGAAAACACAACGGACTATTTCGTACCTCCTTCCCTTCATAGGCTCTCTACCTTTCCACTGTGATACATCCGCGGCCCCCAAAGCGCGTCACCCAGCCTAAACACACGTCGCACGACGTCGGACCTCACTTATTCCCTTCACCCCTAAGCTGACATTGCAGTGGAAGCTACGCGCTTGCTGGACCAATCAGCCACCTTCCATTCATCACCTGACCTCATTCCCTGCATGTGGGTATGCACAAAGGAGCATCACCACATGGCAAGAGTGTGGCTGGCCCAACAAGCACGTAGCTTCCACAGCACTGTCAGCTTCGGGGTGAATGGGGTGGGGAAAGAAACTTTTGTCTGAATTTTGAGCGATGGGCTAATCTTCTAGGGGGAGAATGGCTGTGTCTGGGTACACAAACGAGAGACCGAGCAAGAGGGGACTCCCCACTTTCCGTCTTCTTGAACTGTTTGGTACAATGCGCAATTTATGAGTTAAGGAAAGCTAAACGGGAAAAAGTTAGAAAATGTTTCATGACCCCTTTAATATGGTCTCAGGAGACTATCGAATCAACCTTTTACTACAGAGTCACATATATTTTTTAATGAAGCCAAACAAACTGAGCTGCTCCAAACCGAAACATGAGCACGGAAGCTCATGGCCGCAACATGTGGACGATGTGCACGGAGGAGGAAGAAATGTAGAGGAGAGAGATGCCGGAAATCACGTAACTACACCCAACCGCATTTTTTTTTTTTTTCCTATTTTTTGGTGCGTGATGCAGGCGACGACAACGTTGCGTGCACTGTTTGTCGCGTGATTGTTTCGCATTTATGTTCCTTCCGCTCTATGTTCTGCGCTTGAAGATCGATTGGCCAGTACCACGAACGACAGTTCCGAAGCAGCGGCCCCACATCCGACGTAATGTTGGTCCGTCGTGCGCCGCCATCACGTCGTCCAGTCCGTGGTACGTCGTCATATTGAGAATGCATGTACTTGTGATCTGTGCAATAGTTTTTTTTTTTTTTTTCCATCAACGTATTTGCAGCTTCTTGGAGGCCACAAAAACGGGGTCCATGTTCTGTTTTATTTGTAATAGTGAATGTGGGCCTTGAGGACCAACGACTCTGAATATATTTGGTACGCTATAGTTTGAGTGCTACGTGATTATATAAAAGGGAGCGATCGCGACTGAAACCGTCCAATTCTCGACCGGCTGTTTTCGGGCGGAAATAAAACTAATTTCGAGCCTCCAAGTCATGCTCTGGGTGGTTGGGCTCTCATAGACCGACACGCGGAGCGCCTCTGTTTACCAACACGGCCGGAAGGCCGCGCATGCACGGTAGCTCTGTGGGCAAAAGCGGCCGGCTTTCCGTGTTTTCGCCATTGCGTTGTGTGGCGTGCGCTCGTTGTTAACGTTTTAGGGACGCTTGTAGCTTTATTTGGGCGTCGTATTTTCTGACAACGTATGTCATATGCTATGCCCGACTATTTGAGCTCACTACCCAAGCATGAACGGCACCGGTATCGAAAGAAACTGTGCGTGGACAGCGTTGCCTACGAGGATCCGTACGCTGTAAACAAGGCCTGCTGGACTACCGACGTGAAGTTGCTGCCACCGAAGTCGACGGCTCACGTCGTTGTTTATTTAGTTTTTTCGCCAAGCCAGTTCACGTCCGACACGGTACAGGCGTACAAGTCTCTCGAGGCCTACGATTACTTCGAGTCGGTTTCCGCACTGCCGGCGGGATCAGCAGACTGTGGGTCTGCGGAAGTGTATTTATTAATTAAATAAATACACACAGCGGCTTGAAGTCAAGGTATGATATTTTTCGTACCCTCATGACCACGAGGCATGACAATCAGTAACGCTTTGTCCGCTCTGCAGTCTAGGCGGTAACACGTTTCAAGGAACGACGTTGCCGGTAACGCGTTACTTTTTTCAATAACGTAATAACCTACCTGTTACATTTTCGACACAGTAACGGGTAACATACTTACGTTAATATTTCAAGTAACATAGTTACGTTACTTGTTATGACTTCCCAAGTCTTAAAGAAATTACACTTCAATTTTTTCCGTGTTTTAGGCATCAAGCCATATTTTTCTTTGCGTTTTTTCTCGTGAGTATATAGGTGAAACCATAAAAAGAGATAAAGTAATTATGTTCAGTTTCTGCATGAACATAATGTTTCTTGATATATGAGCTTATGCATACTGTATCGTCAAAACCGTAAAATGTGTTAAATCATAATTTAAAAAGTAACGCAGAAGTAACGTGCGTTACCTTTTATCTGTAGCGGTAATGCGTTCCTTTTATTTTAGGTAACGTAACGCATACCTTTTACTTGCAAGTAACGACTAACGGGCGTAGCGAGCCTCTGACGAGCGCTTGGCCGATGCTTTGTGCGCGAACACCATGGGAACAAAACCCGGGTGGTCTCGATCAGACAACGGTTTCCCTGCACATAAGCAAGTTTCGTGACGGAGATTGAAATGGAAGCCGCACTTGCCATCAAGAAAGTGCTTGCCGCACAAACGGTCGTTCACGCGAGGCGACCATTCTTTTCGATCCACGGATATTATCCACCTTCTATGCGTTTCAGAGTCTGCCGGGAACTTGTGGAAACTCACCCCGCTACTTTTCTTGTACATTTTGGTGCAAATAACGGCAACACAGCTTTGCGGCATGCTGAAATGCTATGACGCCCATGCGAAACATGTGCTCTTTTGCCCACACCACCCGGCTCTGGCGCGATCGCAGCGCCGCCGCAGCTCCGTGACGTCAAGCCCGCGTGTCGGTCTATAGGTCATGTTCAAATAAAAACCTTGGCAAGCATAAATACCTTGTCAGTGTCCCTTTGAACCTTTAAAAGATGTAATAAAAGTGGAATCCTTAATTCAAATAAAAACAAAGCTTTAGTCATTTTGTCATGAACATCAATAATGTTAGATACTTAGAACTTCATAATAACTAGAATTTGCATGTGCAAGATAAATATGCCGTCCTAAAATACAATCCCACCAAACTTGGTAAGGTTATTCTTCCATCCACTTCTTCAGCTAATTTTGCATTTATCTACTTATTGAGTGTCACATTGAACGGATGGAAGCTATATAAAGGCAATAACTAAACCAGAGTTGAGAAAAAAATAAACCTCCAGAGGAATTCATATATATATTGCAACGCCTAAGTATCCTCGCTGAAACTCGACTTTCAAAACGCTATCGTCAGAATACTGCACCGCAGTTTTATTCAGAAATTGTGCGTAACGTCTCGTTCTGGAGGAGTGCTTTCTCCTTAGCACACAAGTGCACCGTGGAGAAGCGAG